GAATCTGGGTTCCCAATCAAAGCACAGAGAGGAGGCCCGTCCTGCCGCTACACGCACATGTCCTTTCAGAGGAAGGCCTGTGCAGATAAGCCCCTGTGCAGATCGCTCAGATAAAAGCTGCAGATTAGGAGCCGCAGGATTTCTTTCTATTTTTTGTATTCCTCAGCTCTCAAAACGACAGCGTGTGTGCCAAAGCAGAAGGATCAACTCTGGGGTTCCTGACTTTTGATTGCTTTAAGAGTCAAAGAAGTGCATGAAAAACTAGTGTTGCAACACAATTCGCACTAGGACCATAAACTCTCACTGCTATAGTCACCTTTTAATTGAATTGCAAGTTATATATCTTGCACAAAAGAGACTATCTTTTCTTATTTCCCGTCTTTTGCACAACAGAGAGATCCTATTATGCCAAATGTGACTTTCTCCATTGTGAGATCATTAAAGTTTCTTACACAGTGTAATCCAAAGTGGTTCACAAGCCAATCACGATAAATGTCAATGAAAAAAACAGACAATGAAAGAGTGCAAAGACATATGAAACATAATGTGTTAAAAATGCAGTAAAAAACAGAATACAAATGTAAAATGAAAGCGTATACTTCAGTAATTACCCACTTCAAATTCACCCTCAAAACTCATCTGTGACTACACCATCCTCTGCTCTGTTTGTTTTAAATTTACTGTTTAGACCTTGACTGTTTAGAAAAGCGCCTAACAAATAAATTGTGTTATTATTAGTCATATGAACGGCTAAATAAAACCGTTTTCAACCTGGACTTGGGACGTGACGTGTCTTAATAGCTCAGGGAGACACTGTAATCTGACACAGTCTACAGTAACAGTGTCTTTTCCGATACTAAGAAAACACTGAACACTATTTTAGATCATCACTGTGGTATTCTTTTTGTACAATGAGCTGCCGTTTTCAACACGCATGATCACATTGTCCTAGTGCTCTGTGATGGTTCCACAACGTGTTCTGCCAGTTCTGATATAGATTGTTCAAAAACTCCTCAGAAAATCTCACAATATGTCTGTCCTGTTTTATTTTTCGGCGTCGATACGTTTTGGAAATTAGTATCTAGTTCTTATACTATTTTTTGTAAGGATTCATTGTCTGTTTTTTAGTGCTTGACCACCCTGGTACTAACTAGAAAGTCACCATCAGAATCGGAATCATTTATATTGTCATTAAAAGTCACAGGGAGAGTTTTCTTTGGCTCATGCTGCAAAAAAATTATAAAAAAGTATATTAGATAAGATGAGATAAACTTTATTGATCCTGCTCAGTTGGTAGAGAATTGGCCTTTGAGCCTGGAGGTCTTGGGTTCCATCCCACCACGAGACCTTCTACATCAACTCCCACTGATGTCTGCTGTCGTTGTGTCCCTGGGCAAGACACTTACCCCCACTTTGCCTCAAGCCAATCCTAATGCAATTCTAACATATATATATACTGTATACACACAATAGACATTTAACAGTGCCCTGGACTTTTCCCTGGACTTAAGTCACTTTGATGACCTGCACTAGGACTTAAAAACTTGCACTGCTATAGTCACTTTTAAAAAAAAAATGTTGTGCATAATACATCGTGCACAAGAGAGAGAAGTTTGCACACTTCCTGTCTTTTTGCACAGCCTGAGCGATCTATGCCAAACATGACCTGTACATTTCTTCATTGTTCATTGTGAGATCAATAAAGTTGATCTTATCCTATCTTAGAAGCCTTTGGTGGCGAGTACCATTTGCACATAACGAGTTTGCATTTAAATTGTAGATGGTGGGTATTTATGGAGCTATTATTGTTTCAATAATATTTGTGTGTGCGTAAAAAGATTTGTGCGTGCGTAACCAGATTTGTGTGTGCGTACCCAGATTTGTGTGTGCGTAACCAGATTTGTGCGTGCGTAACCAGATTTGTGTGTGTGTAAAAGAAATATTAGTGCGTGTGTAAATAGATTTGTATGTACGTATCAAGATTTGTGTGTGCGTAAAAAGATTTGTGTGTGCGTAAAAAGATTTGTGTGTGCGTAGAAAGATTTGTGTGTGTGTAAAGAAAAAAAAAAGTACGTTTTACACACAAGTTTTTTTTTTTTACACACGAATCTTTTGACGCAGTCCTGCCTTCGCAGATTCGCAAGTGTAACTTGGACTGTGTGCGTGCGTAAACAGATTTGTGTGTGTGTAATTTGACATTTGTATCTGTAGCAGAACAATCTGTGTGTAAATAACCGCGTTGTACAAAGAGAAGAACGAAAAAAGCCTAAGTGCTACGCACAGGCTCTGTTTTACACATGAATCTCTTTTTGACACACCTCTGCCGCCAAGCGTGTGTCAAAAAGATTTGTAAGTGTAATGTGGTTGTTCTAGCAGTACACCAGCAGATGGTGCTGTTGTAGCTGGTTATTACCTACACGCAAGCAAACCGAAACCTACTGCCTTGACAAGACACACTACCGCAGCTGTTTATGATATTTTTTTCCTATTTTCAAAATCCTGTCATTCACACCACTGTATGATACATGGATCTATTATAATAACTGGATAGGGTGTTACTAGCTTGGAGCTGAAGGATTCTCACGTACTGCAGACTAAATTCACGTGGGCTACACAGAAATTTTCCCCATAGAACTCAAAGTAAACTAAAACAGCTGACAGATAACCTACAGCTTTCATAAAGGTCGGATTTTGTGGGAATTTTAGTGTTCCTTGTCATCCTGAACTTTTCTTCTTCTTCTTAAATCCTTCGGTTTTCTCTATCTACACTTGTTGGTTTGCTTGCGTGTAGGTAACAGTGTTGGGCACGTTACTTTGAAAAAGTAATTAGGTATAGTTACTAGTTACTTCTCCCAAAAAGTAACTGAGTTACTAACGGAGTTACTCCACTATAAAAGTAACTAGTTACCAGTAAAAGTAACTATTGCGTTACTTTTTCGTTTTGTTCTGGAACATAATGTGCACCCGACGTGCGCATTTTTACCTTTAACAGTGCCAATATTTCCATCTAGAAAAGGCTGTTTTGCTGCTGAAGTCCTGTTCACTCTTCATCTCTCACTGTGTAAGCACTAAACACCAACACCCGCCACTGTGAATGTGGAAACACCGGTGACGAGCAGTGAGGCTGGTGAAGCACTGACTTCAGTCCAATCAGATGAACATATAGCGTTACATCATATAAATCAAGTGGACAATTTGTTTGGCTACAGCAAAATATGTTTTATGCCCGCATTGTTTGTTCATACAAAACGCAAAACTATGAGTTATGGGTCTTACCTTATAGCTATACCTTATAAATGACCTGCACAGTCCACTTCGGTTCAGACCAGTTCCTTGATTAAATCCAGTTAATGGTTTGAGCGTAGATATGTAATCCTCCATTTGGAAATGAGTCCAATGAGTTTTAAAAAGTAAAACAAAACGCGTGTGTCCTCCATAAACTCCTGTGTTTTGCCAGCGGCAGCCGAGTGCATCCAATTTCTAAAATCAACCGTCTTACACTTCACCTCTCTTTCTTATCATTCCTATAGTAATTGAAAAAATACCCTATGTGCATTTTAGATTATGTAAAAATGTGTTATATGTATGTTAGCCAAACCTGTTGCTGTCCTTAGCAGATAAACCAGGAAGAGCAAGGAGCTTATCGATGGAATTGTATGCAGCCGACTTCTGCGCTCACATGCGCTCCTCTGTGGCTGACCTCACGGTGATACAAGCCGTGGTTGAGCGCGATTAAGACCCATATTTGTTTCAAAAACACAATTTATGAGCCATCCTCTCAACTGTAGACATGTGGATTGTAAAGGAAATATGATTTATATCAGCCAATAATTGCTGAGAGGTTTTCTCATCCTCCCTTCTCTCATGACAACACGTTCATTGTGCGTCTTGAGTAACGCGCAGTAACGGGATGTCGGAAATGATAACGGCGTTATAGTTACTGTCAAAGTAATTAGTTAGATTACTCGTTACTGAAAAAAGTAACGGCGTTAGTAACGCCGTTACTAGTAACGTTATTCCCATCACTGGTAGGTAATAACCAGCTACAACACCACCATCTGCTGGTGTACTGCTAGAACAACCACATTACACTTACAAATCTTTTTGACACACGCTTGGCGGCAGAGGTGTGTCAAAAAGAGATTCGTGTGTAAAACAGAGCCTGTGCGTAGCACTTAGGCTTTTTCCCGTTCTTCTCTTTGTACAACGCGGTTATTTACACACAGATTGTTCTGTTACAGATACAAATGTCAAATTACACACACACAAATCTGTTTACGCACGCACACAGTCCAAGTTACACTTGCGAATCTGCGAAGGCAGGACTGCGTCAAAAGATTCGTGTGTAAAAAAAAAAACTTGTGTGTAAAACGTACTTTTTTTTTTCTTTACACACACACAAATCTTTCTACGCACACACAAATCTTGATACTTACATACAAATCTATTTACACACGCACAAATATTTCTTTTACACACACACAAATCTGGTTACGCACGCACAAATCTGGTTACGCACACACAAATCTGGTTACGCACGCACAAATCTGGTTACCACGCACAAATCTTTTTACGCACACACAAATATTATTGAAACAATAATAGCTCCATAGGTATTCTGTGACAGCAGCAGTGGCGGCGGCGGCGGGAGGTGTTGGCCCTCACACCGGCGGCCATCACCGTGAATGGAGCTATAATGGCTTTACACACTTAGGTGTTTGTTAAACATGTGGGAGGGGGACTTCAAATGGAGTAGGCGGAGCTGCCCTGGAGTTTACCTTCTTCACTCACTTGTGCTCTGATCATTTTGGTTCTGCTGACCAGCGTGGGAGGACTCTGGCTCTGGTCTATTTTTAAGCTTTTGCACTGTTTTTGTCCGGAGATTACCGCTGCTATTCCTGGACACCGGCCGCTCAGCATGTGGCCATCAACGTGAAGCAAAAGCGGCTGTGTTTTTTTTGTGTCACCCGCACAAACTAATCAGATCTGTTTCACCGCAGAGCTCCAGTATGTCCAAGCGGCGCTCGTCGGAGAGGGTTGCTGGAGAGACGTCGGGCAGGGCCAGTAAGCTGCAGTGTCCCGGGATATCTGGCAACAACGCCAAGAGAGCCGGCCCCTTCATCCTAGGTGAGCCCCAGCGTGTGTCGCATTTGGAGCCCGGGAGAAGCATGCGTGGTTCTGCGAGTGTTGAGGCGCTAATGAGAATATGCATGAGTTTAAAAATGGTAGATTTTGTCCCACAGCGAGGAAATGTCAGTGTTGTATCAGCAGTTACAGAACAGTAAGAATGGGGGGCACACAGCACAAGATAAATGAGCAATAACTCTATACAAAAATAAGAATAAAATCTGTATCGCTTTAGCATAATAAAGAAGCAAGTATAGAATCTCTAACTTTAGCATAATAATGAAGAAAGTATAAAATATCTAGCTTTAGCATAATAAAGAAGCTAGTATAAAATCTCTAGCTTTATCATAGTAAAAAGCTAGTATAAAATCTCTAGCTTTATCATAGTAAAAAGCTAGTATAAAATCTCTAGCTTTATCATAGTAAAAAGCTAGTATAAAATCTCTAGCTTTAGCATAACAAAGAAGCAAGTATAGAATCCCTAACTTAAGCATAACGTCATAAATAAGCAAGAAATAAGTATTAAAATCTCTGACTTAAGCATAATAAAGAAGCAGGTATAAAATCCTGTATGTTTACATCTGTACATGTGATCCAGGTGCACTCAAAATAGTAAGAAATGCCTCTCTAATGTTATGTCTTTTGGTGTTGTGATTCGCTTCAAGAAAAAAACTCTTGCCTTTATACCCACAATGCGTTTAATACAAGGCAATCTGTAACCACGGAGCGTAATGATATTTAGGTAACCTGTTTGTCAGCTTATCTCTTACTCACCAATGACTCACTCGCAGCATGTACCTGACTGTACTCAAATAAAAGGGAATAATAAGCTACACCGCCGTTTGAAGCCCACATGATACTAATAGGCAAGGCAAAGTTTGTTTGTAGAGCACGGTTCATACACGAGGCAACTCACAGTGCTGCACAAAACAAGGTAGAGACACAAGGTTTTTTTTTTTTGCATTAAGTTACCCATGTCTCAATTGATAAAAAACTAAAAGGCTTGGAAACTTGCTTTTTTTTTTAAACTGAAAGGCAAGAGACAGAGCTTTCATTTGGTGTGTTTCATACTTGTGTCAACCAAGGGCTCACATTTATACGAGGTTTGGAAAAACACTAAAAAATATCCAAAATCTAGCCGTATGAGGGATGCTGCTTTAAATATGGCTGGCAGTGAATGAGTTAAAAAGCGTGACGACGCAATCCTTCAGATGTCTCCACAGCTACACTGAGCTGTTTCATACACTGCAAAAAGTGATCAAGATATGTCATAATTGTATCTTGATTTGAGCAGATTCTGACTGAGCCTCAGAACAAATGGAACATAGCAAAAGTATCTTGTTTCTAAAAAGATACAAGAGATGTCTCCTTCGGAAAGAGGAAATATTGCAGCAATTCTTGACTAAATGGCTTTGTCCCATTGGAGAATCTTGTTTTAACAGTCAGAATGTACTCAAAATAAGATAAAAACCACTCGATTCCAGCAATTATTTTAGCTAGTATGTCTGTGCACCTGGATTTAAACATCGTCAGAGCAGAAAGTTGTCTCACATTTTCAGGATTTGAACTGTGGCTAGCGTCCATCAAGCCCTCTTCTGTAATCTCTGCTTACTTGAAAGTTGTGGGGTGCTTGTTTTTTTCCACACCCTTCAGACAAAAATGCTTGGAATTTTGCTGATCCCCATGACATCGGCCAGAAAACCGAATCCAGGTTATTTTCATTAGCGTTGCTCCGCTTGCCATTCATGCATTTTTCTAATCCCCGCCGCCGCCGCTACTACTATGATTATTTGCTAATGGAAGTGCCAACAAAAACATTACACGCGGGGTGTTAATGAGAACATGCTCGCGCTGCCTGTAATGAGCTGTAGTGAAAGAACACACACGCGCACACACACACACACACACACAGCCTTTTGCTCATACAGCTGTTCTGTCTTTTCTTGCAGGGCCTCGCTTGGGCAACTCACCCGTACCCAGCATAGTGCAATGTCTGGCCCGGAAGGACGGCACCGACGACTTCTATCAGCTCAAAGTAAGTCTGGATGGGAGACCACGGAGGGCGGCACGGTGGCACAGAGTTTGCATGTTCTCCCCGTTTCTGCGCTGGTGCCCTCCGGGTGCTCCAGTTTCCCCTACCACTAAAAACATACGCAATAGGTATGAATGTAATGAGCGAGTGGATGGATGGTGTTTGGTCGGAGGTTTTGATGGACCGGTGTGTTCCGTCATCACCGAGTGTGGAATGATTGGAACAATATCTGAACTCTGAACATTGTAAAGCGCTTTGGGTGACCTTGGTCTGTAAAATGCGCTGTATAAATTAACAGTAATTACGTACTTCCTTACCATGGACTCTAATAGTTGCCAATGGACTCAACCTTTTGACCTTCCCATTTGTTTTGGGTTTTTTTTTACGGCCCCAGTGTCGCATTCAAGCGAGGAACGGACAGTCTTTATATTGTGTTTGTGGTGGGGACGGGGGGGGGGTGCTATGTGGCTGTTACACAAGAGAAGGTGCTAGAAGTGTGCACATGGGGAAGGTTTTTGCTCCTGGAATGTGGACTTTTTAACCCTTGTGACTGCGGCGTGAGTCATGGCACGGCCCCCTCAAAAGCAGCGCCTCACAGTCTGTTCCGCCGTGTTTACCTCAGGACCCTGGGCCACAAACTCCACATTCAAAACCGGCAAACAAACACCACCGGCTTTTTGTTTGGAGAGTTTGAACCTGTTTTCTACTGTATATCTGGTGTATATTTGAAGACTGATGAGTAATGCATGAGTTAAGATAAGTTGAATACGTTTTCTAATTCATACAGTATATATATATATCCATCCGTTTTCTTCCGCTTTATCTGTTGCCGGGTCGGTGGGGGGGGCAGCAGTGTGAGCAGACAGTCAGACTTCTGTATTCACACACACTTCACACCTCCAGCTCACAAATGAATGATTAAATACTTTAGCCTTTATGCCATTACACAAGCAGCTGGGGAAAGATTCTTCATTCTCCTTAAATCCATAGATACTTTATCGATCCACTAATGGAGAAATGCAGGTGTCCAGCATCAGAAACACACCCATTTGATTTGATTTGAATACTTTATTTTTAGCCATACAAAATTCTTTCAAAAGCATTCTGTGCACTACAGAAAGCACTGCACCCACATACACGAGCAACAAATGAAAAACAAAACGAAAAGGTACAGGGAGGATGGGTAGAACATATATGGGGGGGGAAATTAAAGCGTTTGGCTCATTACAATTATAATAAATGTTTAATTCTAAAAGCTTCCAACAATAGTAATAAAGAGCACATAAAGATAATATGGTAATAGTATTTTAAAAGTTGAGGTATAAGTTTCCGGCTGCAGTCTTGTGACCCGCTCATGTTTGCTCTGTGGTTGTGTGTTCTGCAGATCCTGACTCTGGAGGAGCGGGTGGATGCTGCCGGAGAGACGCAGGAGGAGCGTCAGGGCAAAATGTTGCTTCACACAGAATACTCTCTGCTGTCTCTGCTGCACAACCAGGACGGTGTGGTTCACCACCACGGCCTTTTTCAGGTACAGGAAGATCATGGAAACCCACTGGCTTCCTGTGTGGAAGCCCCACCACCTTTCATGTGATATTCTGGCTTTGTAAACTACTCTCTCCTGTTTGTCATGAGGGTTAGCACATCCTATCCCGGGTTATTCAGCACTCAAGAATGTCTACTGTATTAGACCTGGACAGAAAAACAAAACTACAACCATTAGAATTATAAAAGCAGCCATTTATAGTTGTTTTACTCCAGGTTATTTTAGAATAAAGAAATTACACATCCTTAGCAATACCTTTTTGTCCTAATGTAAAATTATATTCAAACCTTTTTTTAGATGGAAAATAGTTTTTGTTAATTTTTTCAATGCTTTATTATTGTGTTTCCTTGGTACAGTAAATCTAATTGCTTTGTAGTTAAAACACAATAGTTTGTTTAGATTTGCAAGGCAGTTAAAGGTTAAAACCACAGACAACAATTCTGAATTGGATTGATCGTGCTTAAAATCATTCTGTTCAAAGTAATAGTATTTTTAGTCTCAATCGGACACTTCAGGTACCATCAAAAACCAAAGATACAGGAAATTTTTTGAGCCAAGGTCCATTTTGAATAATAAAAAGTCTGTAAAAGCTAATGAATACCACTTGGCCAAACCTTGAGTTAATTGTTATTGTTTTTCATATTGTCAGAGGTATGTCAGTCATTAGTCTCTCCAGCTGCCTGTGTTTCTTTATCTCTTTCAATAGAGAAGCATTAAACGCCTCAGTTCTATGGCGTCATCCTCTAGTCAGAGCCACATCCATTCACAATGCTTCCCCCTCCCTCACCTGTCTTCCCGTCCGTCTCCTTTAACCGTATTAGTGTTTCGTCCGCTGTCTCTCTCTCTTTCTCCACCGTCTCTCTCTCTCTCTCTCTCTCTCCACTGTCTCTCTCTCTCTCCACTGTCTCTCTCTGCTGTATCTATCTCTGTCTCTCTCTCTCTTTCCACTGTCTCTCTCTACTGTATCTATCTCTGTCTCTGTCTCTCTCTCTGTCTCCACTGTCTCTCTGTCTCTCTCTCTCTCCACTGTCTCTCTCTGTCTCTGTCTCTCTCTCTCTCTCTCCACTGTCTCTCTCTCTCTCTCTCTCTCTGTCTCCACTGTTTCTCTGTCTCTCTCTCTCTCCACTGTCTCTCTCTCTCTCTCCACTGTCTCTCTCTCTCTCTCTCTCCACTGTCTCTCTCTCTCTCTCTCTCTCCACTGTCTCTCTCTCTCTCCACTGTCTCTCTCTGCTGTATCTATCTCTGTCTCTCTCTCTCTCTCCACTGTCTCTCTCTCTCTCTCTCTCTCTCTCCACTGTCTCTCTCTGCTGTATCTATCTCTGTCTCTCTCTCTCTCTCCACTGTCTCTCTCTCTCTCTCTCTCTCTCTCCACTGTCTCTCTCTGCTGTATCTATCTCTGTCTCTCTCTCTCTCCACTGTCTCTCTCTCTCTATCTCTCCACTGTCTCTCTCTGTCTCCACTGTCTCTCTCTGCTGTATCTATCTCTGTCTCTCTCTGACTCTCTCTACTGTATCTATCTCTGTCTCTCTCTCTCTCTCTCTCCATTGTCGCTCTCTGTCTCTGTCTCTCTCTCCACTGTCTCTGTCCCTTTCTCTCTCTCTCTCTCTCTCCACTGTCTCTCTCTGTCTCTGTCTCTCTCTCTCTCCACTGTCTCTCTCTCTCTCTCCACTGTCTCTCTCTGCTGTATCTATCTCTGTCTCTCTCTCTCTCCACTGTCTCTCTCTCTCTCTTTCCACTCTCTCTCCACTGTCTCTCTCTCTCTGTCTCTCTCTCTCTCCACTGTCTCTCTCTCTCTCCACTGTCTCTCTCTCTCTCTCCACTGTCTCTCTCTCTCTCTCTCTCTCTCCACTGTCTCTCTCTGCTGTATCTGTCTCTGTCTCTCTCTCTCTCTCTCTTTCCACTGTCTCTCTCTACTGTATCTATCTCTGTCTCTGTCTCTCTCTCTGTCTCCACTGTCTCTCTGTCTCTCTCTCTCTCCACTGTCTCTCTCTCTCTCTCTCTCTCTGTCTCCACTGTCTCTCTGTCTCCACTGTTTCTCTGTCTCTCTCTCTCTCCACTGTCTCTCTCTCTCTCTCCACTGTCTTTCTCTCTCTCCACTGTCTCTCTCTCTCTCTGTCTCCACTGTCTCTCTCTGTCTCCACTGTCTCTCTCTGTCTCACTGTCTCTCCACTGTCTCTCTCTGTCTCTGTCTCTCTCTCCACTGTCTCTCTCTGCTGTATCTATCTCTGTCTCTCTCTCTCTCTCTCTCTCTCTCTCTCTCTCTCTCTCTCTCTCTTTCCACTGTCTCTCTCTACTGTATCTATCTGTCTCTCTCTCTCTACTGTATCTATCTCTGTCTCTGTCTCTCTCTCCACTGTCTCTCTCTCTCTCTCTCTGTCTCCACTGTCTCTCTCTCTTTCCACTGTCTCTCTCTACTGTATCTATCTCTGTCTCTCTCTCTCTGTCTCCACTGTCTCTCTCTCTCTCCCACTGTCTCTCTCTCTCTCTCTCTCTGTATCCACTGTCTCTCTCTCTCCACTGTCTCTCTCTCTCTCTCTCTCTCTCTCTGTCTCCACTGTCTCTCTCTGTCTCCACTCCTCTCTCTCTCTCTCTCTCACTGTCTCTCTCTGTCTCTGTCTCTCTCTCCACTGTCTCTCTCTGCTGTATCTATCTCTGTCTCTCTCTCTTTCCACTGTCACTCTCTCTACTGTATCTATCTCTGTCTCTGTCTCTCTCTACTGTATCTATCTCTGTCTCTGTCTCTCTCTACTGTATCTATCTCTGTCTCTGTCTCTCTCTACTGTATCTATCTCTGTCTCTGTCTCTCTCTCTCTGTCTCCACTGTCTCTCTCTCTGTCTCCACTGTCTCTCTCTCTCTCTCCACTGTCTCTCTCTCTCTCTCCACTGTCTCTCTCTCTCTCCACTGTCTCTCTCTCTCTCCACTGTCTCTCTCTCTCTCCACTGTCTCTCTCTCTGTCTCTCTCTCTCTCTCTGTCTCTCTCTCTCTCCACTGTCTCTCTCTCTGTCTCCACTGTCTCTCTCTCTCTCTCCACTGTCTCTCTCTCTCTCTCTCCACTGTCTCTCTCTCTCTCTCCACTGTCTCTCTCTCTCTCTGTCTCTCTCTCTCTCCACTGTCTCTCTCTCTCTCTGTCTCTCTCTCTCTCTCCACTGTCTCTCTCTCTCTCTCTCCCTCTCCCCCACATCCTGTGCGCTCTTCCTTCTGTCACCGCGCTCAGAATAGCAGCATTGAGCTCCTTCTCATTTAGGGCACCAGATATTGATTAGGTTATTATTGTGCATCTCCTCAAAGGGACTTCATATTGGAGGCGCTGACAGCATCTGAACCGGAGTCATCGACCGGGCACACATCCAACAGGGTTTCTGTGCGTTGAGGGAAAGGGGAATAACTTTTTATTTAGTGTTGTTTTTTTTTTTTTTTTTTTTTTTTTTTTTTTTTGCATCATCCTGTGTGGATTGTGGTTGAGTCTTGTCCACTTCATTTCGTATATTGTGTGATAATTCTTAAGTTAATTTTATTTTTGTACTGCCCTAAATCACAACAGTAGTTATCTCTGAGGACTTTACAAAACCGTTGATTTCTCCAACACAGATCAGAGAATCAAACGGTTCAAACACAAGAAATACACACCATTGTACTAATTTCATTTCGTACTAAAGTCTGGATTTGCTCCATTGACTCCGTAAACAGGTGGGAGGGGTTAACTCCTTTTGCAGATTGAAACGATTGGATCTGAGTTTACCATGACGTATGTAATAAGAAAGCAGCATTTAGCGTTTACCCTAGCTTCAGCATGTAGCCTAGCTTTAGCCATCTCCTTTGCCACTAACGGAGTCCGTGGGGTGTAGAGCCACAACATCTTTGCGGCAATGACATTTACTAAACATTCCTCTTGCTCCGGCTTCAATTTCTTGATATTTGGATTGAACCAGAACAGATTATTTTACTGTCGCATTCTCTGCCAAACTACAACCAGCAAATGTGGCGCAAACTCTATACTTCACGACACCTCCCTACAACACCCGCTCTCTGATTGGTCGGAGGGGATTCAACCGAGGAAACTGCAGCCACTAGGATCAGACCCAGATGTACATGTAGGAAATGATCATGGACCAGAGTTTACACATGGTAAGACCAGACGTACATGTAGGAAATGACCATGGACCAGAGTTTACACATGGTAAGACCAGACGTACATGTAGGAAATGACCATGGACCAGAGTTTACACATGGTAAGACCAGACGTACATGTAGGAAATGGTCATGGACCAGAGTTTACACATGGTAAGACCAGACGTACATGTAGGAGATGATCATGGACCAGAGTTAACGGGTGGATAAGACCAGACTAGCATCAGCAAGGAAAAACTCTAAAACCCAGTGTGAGAAAAGTGAGAAACTATTAGTTGATGATGCAAATAATCCCTTCCTTTAAATATATATCAGTTCTTAGGTTTGTTTTTGTTGTTACTCCCAGACGAAAGTTCACATGCGGCGTGTGAGACTGAGTCCTGTACACGGCTGGAACTGTTCCTGTGTGGTTTCTTTCTGTTCCTGTCGCTGTGGTTTCTCCATTCAGCACAATATGAATGAACTTCCCGATAGTGTTGACTCAATGCTGAACTTCATACTCTATATCGAAAATACAATCATTTATTCTGATGAAACTGACAATATTGTTCACAAGTTCATTTTTTTCTGTAATCTAACTTAAAATTTGAATCTGATTTGGCTTAAACATATTTTTGGGGGTTTTACAGCAGGGAGCCATTATTACCAACATTACAGACGCTAGCTTGATTCATCTGCGCTTGTATTGAGCCATATCAGTTTCACTTTGAACGATATTCTATATTTCAGAGTTTAAAAATGAAAACAAATTATGAGGTTATAATAATGTGTTTATTAAAGTACTTCTGATTTAAATTTGTATAAGTAAGTAAGCTTTATTTATATACCGCCTTTCACAGACCAGAGTCACAAAGCGGTTTACAATTGTTATTTTTTGGGCACTTGTCCTCTCACTCCACACAGAGATGGGAGTAGGGTCGCCGAACAGGAGGCACATGCCAGACCTGCAGGGGGAGAACATGCAAACTCCACTCAGAAAGGCCCTGGTGCGGCCGGGATTCGAACCCAGGACCTTCTTGCTGAGAGGCCGAGAGTGCTATCCACTCAGCCACCGTGCCGCCCGGTGGCTGTTGTATCTCAAGAAATTTCACATCTTGTCTTGTGTCGTTTTCCAGCCTAGTTACTTTCTCAAATTAGATTGGAGTTTTGTTAAATTAGTGTCTAGTTTTAGTGTCTTTGCCTGAAGCCCCCGCTGAAAGATCTCGGCTCCTGTGGACTCAGCACCTGCAGGAGGATCAGTGAGGGGCTGGTGCTCTGTGTACTGGGACTGATAGTGTCTAGTTTCAATACTGGCTTTAGTACTCGATACTTTTGACAACCCTCCTTCCCAATAATTTTACACACTTTTTCCCACAATCCATCAGCCAAAGAAACACCAGTTGGAGGAAACCCATTTTTGAGGTTTGAAATAGTAGCTGTTACATGGCACCTACTACATCAGGGGTCTCCAACCTGTAGCTCGGGAGGCACCAGTAGCTCGCCATGCACCCCCTTCCAGGTAGCTCGCCAAAGGATTTAGAAATAAACAAATGAAATAATATACAGGATATTTCAAATGGTTTTTTTCATTACCATTATTTATTATTGTAAATGCACTTACTTTGTGCGCTAGTGAAAAAATATGCAATGAATAAATACTGACTGCACCCAAAATCAGGCTTGTTCACACCAACATATCACACATTTTTTCCCAGGGTCGCTTAAAAGAGTAGCTCTTTGCCTTTATCGTCCTGGGAAAGTAGCTCTCTGGGTGAAGAAGGTTGTCTGTACTACATCATCCAATATGTCCAGGATTCCCTTGAAAAAGAGGTTATTAATCTTAATGGGACTTTCCTGGTTAAATAAAGGGAACGCAAAAATATCTATATCTAAGTCTATATGTAACCAGGTTTTCATTACACAAACATATTGAAAAGTTGTTAGCTTTTCAATATGCGGGCGGCACGGTGGCAGAGTGGCTAGCACTCTCGCCTCTCAGCAAGAAGGTCCTGGGTTCGAATCCCGGTCGGACCAGGGCCTTTCTGAGTGGAGTTTGCATGTTCTCCCCGTGTCTGCGTAGGTTTCCTCCGGGTACTCCGGTTTCCCCTACCACTAAAAATACGCCCAATAGTTCTGGCATGCGCTTCCTGTACTGGCCCCGCTCCCATCTCTGTGGAGTGAGAGACAAATGCCCAAAAATTAACAATTGTAAACCGCTTTGAGACTCAGATCTGCAGTGAAAAGGCGGTATATAAATAAAGATTACTTACTACTACTACTACTACTACTACTACTAGTGATGACTACTAGTGTCCTATGCTTTTGGAACGCACGGCGAACCAGGCTAACACTCCCCTTCCTTACGGTTCCAGGACCGGGCCTACGAAATAGTGGAAGACGTCGACTCCAACAAAATCCGCAAAATGAAGAAGCGCATCTGCCTGGTGCTGGACTGCCTCTGCGCCCACGACTTCAGCGACAAGACGGCCGACCTCATCAACCTGCAGCATTACGTCATCAAGGAGAAGCGGCTGAGCGAGCGCGAGGCCGTGGTCATCTTCTACGACGTGGTGCGAGTGGTGGAGGCGCTACATAAGGTGAGGATGTGTTTGGGACTCTTTCACTTTGTTTGGAATGAACTAGACTTTCTGGACTATTAGGCGCACCTGTGTATAAGCCCCACCCGCTCCGTTAAAAAATAAAGTAAATTTTGTCCACATATAAGCCGCGCTGGAATATAAGCCTCAGGTTTTAATGCAGCAGAATGACGGCTGTTTGAACTGGTCACAACATGATTTAATGATGAGGTGTTAAACAGCTTATCCGTTAGCTTCCCTGCTACACTCACCGTTAGCTTCTATGACTCATTAACCGCTAGCTTCCATGCTACACTCACCGCTAGCTTCCATGCTACACTCACCGCTAGCTTCCATGCCTCATTCACCGTTAGCTTCCATCACTCAAGCCTACCACAATAAGAATACACATATTAGCCACATCACTGTATGGGCTGCAGGCTTCAAAAAATTAGAAAAAAAGTAGCGATTTATATTTTTTTAAGTTGCGCTAATACATTTTAGGAGATATGTCCGCAATCATGCCTACAACTTTAGTTTGTTCGTTTTTTTTGTAAAATATCACAAACTATATTGAACTGTTCCGCCCAAAATCTGTCAACTCTTACATCAGAGAAATATGGCTACCGCTGTCAGACTGTGCAACAAGTCACTTTAATGACCTGCACTAGAACTGAACAAACTCGCACTGTATTGTACAAAATTTATAATAATCTTGCACAAAATAGACTATATTTTAACCTTTTTTACCGGTTTGCACACGACCTGTCTCTTTGCACACCCTGAGTGATTGTATCTGTACAAAATGTGAACTATGCCAAATCCTGGGCACTAGCATGGGCTCACTAGCATGGGCGCACCAGCATGGGCGCACCAGCATGGGCTCACCAGCATGGGCGCACCAGCATGGGCTCACCAGCATGGGCGCACCAGCATGGGCGCACCAGCATGGGCGCACCAGCATGGGCGCACCAGCATGGGCGCACCAGCATGGGCGCACCAGCATGGGCGCACCAGCATGGGCGCACCAGCATGGGCGCACCAGCATGGGCGCACCAGCATGGGCGCACCAGCATGGGCTCACCAGCATGGGCTCACCAGCATGGGCTCACCAGCATGGGCTCACCAGCATGGGCGCACCAGCATGGGCGCACCAGCATGGGCGCACCAGCATGGGCGCACCAGCATGGGCGCACCAGCATGGGCGCACCAGCATGGGCGCACCAGCATGGGCGCACCAGCATGGGCGCACCAGCATGGGCGCACCAGCATGGGCGCACCAGCATGGGCGCACCAGCATGGGCGCACCAGCATGGGCGCACCAGCATGGGCTCACCAGCATGGGCGCACCAGCATGGTCTCTCCAGCATGGGCGCACCAGCATGGTCTCTCCAGCATGGGCGCACCAGCATGGTCTCTCCAGCATGGGCGCACCAATATGGGCGCACCAGCATGGGCGCACCAGCATGGGCTCACCAGCATGGGCGCACCAGCATGGGCTCACCAGCATGGGCGCACCAGCATGGGCTCTCCAGCATGGGCGCACCAGCATGGGCTCACCAGCATGGGCTCACCAGCATGGGCTCACCAGCATGGGCGCACCAGCATGGGCGCACCAGCATGGGCGCACCAGCATGGGCTCACCAGCATGGGCGCACCAGCATGGGCTCTCCAGCATGGGCTCACCAGCATGGGCTCACCAGCATGGGCGCACCAGCATGGGCGCACCAGCATGGGCTCTCCAGCATGGGCGCACCAGCATGGGCTCTCCAGCATGGGCGCACCAGCATGGGCTCTCCAGCATGGACGCACCAGCATGGACGCACCAGCATGGGCGCACCAGCATGGGCGCACCAGCATGGGCGCACCAGCATGGGCGCACCAGCATGGGCTCACCAGCATGGGCTCACCAGCATGGGCGCACCAGCATGGGCGCACCAGCATGGGCGCACCAGCATGGGCGCACCAGCATGGGCGCACCAGCATGGGCGCACCAGCATGGGCGCACCAGCATGGGCGCACCAGCATGGGCGCCCAGCATGGGCGCACCAGCATGGGCGCACCAGCATGGGCGCACCAGCATGGGCGCACCAGCATGGGCGCACCAGCATGGGCGCACCAGCATGGGCGCACCAGCATGGGCGCACCAGCATGGGCGCACCAGCATGGGCGCACCAGCATGGGCGCACCAGCATGGGCGCACCAGCATGGGCGCACCAGCATGGGCTCACCAGCATGGGCGCACCAGCATGGTCTCTCCAGCATGGGCGCACCAGCATGGTCTCTCCAGCATGGGCGCACCAGCATGGTCTCTCCAGCATGGGCGCACCAGCATGGTCTCTCCAGCATGGGCGCACCAGCATGGGCGCACCAGCATGGGCGCACCAGCATGGGCCACCAGCATGGGCGCACCAGCATGGGCTCACCAGCATGGGCGCACCAGCATGGGCTCTCCAGCATGGGCTCTCCCCAGCATGGGCTCTCCAGCATGGGCTCTCCAGCATGGGCGCACCAGCATGGGCGCACCAGCATGGGCGCACCAGCATGGGCGCACCAGCATGGGCGCACCAGCATGGGCGCACCAGCATGGGCGCACCAGCATGGGCGCACCAGCATGGGCGCACCAGCATGGGCGCACCAGCATGGGCGCACCAGCATGGGCGCACCAGCATGGGCGCACCAGCATGGGCGCACCAGCATGGGCGCACCAGCATGGGCGCACCAGCATGGGCTCACCAGCATGGGCGCACCAGCATGGTCTCTCCAGCATGGGCGCACCAGCATGGTCTCTCCAGCATGGGCGCACCAGCATGGTCTCTCCAGCATGGGCGCACCAGCATGGTCTCTCCAGCATGGGCGCACCAGCATGGGCGCACCAGCATGGGCGCACCAGCATGGGCTCACCAGCATGGGCGCACCAGCATGGGCTCACCAGCATGGGCGCACCAGCATGGGCTCTCCAGCATGGGCGCACCAGCATGGGCTCACCAGCATGGGCTCACCAGCATGGGCGCACCAGCATGGGCGCACCAGCATGGGCGCACCAGCATGGGCTCACCAGCATGGGCGCACCAGCATGGGCTCTCCAGCATGGGCGCACCAGCATGGGCTCACCAGCATGGGCTCACCAGCATGGGCGCACCAGCATGGGCTCTCCAGCATGGGCGCACCAGCATGGGCTCTCCAGCATGGGCGCACCAGCATGGGCTCTCCAGCATGGACGCACCAGCATGGACGCACCAGCATGGGCGCACCAGCATGGGCGCACCAGCATGGGCGCACCAGCATGGGCGCACCAGCATGGGCGCACCAGCATGGGCTCACCAGCATGGGCTCACCAGCATGGGCTCACCAGCATGGGCTCACCAGCATGGGCGCACCAGCATGGGCGCACCAGCATGGGCGCACCAGCATGGGCGCACCAGCATGGGCGCACCAGCATGGGCGCACCAGCATGGGCGCACCAGCATGGGCGCACCAGCATGGGCGCACCAGCATGGGCGCACCAGCATGGGCTCTCCAGCATGGGCGCACCAGCATGGGCGCACCAGCATGGGCTCTCCAGCATGGGCGCACCAGCATGGGCGCACCAGCATGGGCTCACCAGCATGGGCGCACCAGCATGGGCGCACCAGCATGGGCTCTCCAGCATGGGCGCACCAGCATGGGCTCTCCAGCATGGGCGCACCAGCATGGGCGCACCAGCATGGGCTCTCCAGCATGGGCTCTCCAGCATGGGCGCACCAGCATGGGCTCTCCAGCATGGACGCACCAGCATGGGCGCACCAGCATGGGCGCACCAGCATGGGCGCACCAGCATGGGCGCACCAGCATGGGCGCACCAGCATGGGCGCACCAGCATGGGCTCACCAGCATGGGCGCACCAGCATGGGCGCACCAGCATGGGCGCACCAGCATGGGCGCACCAGCATGGGCGCACCAGCATGGGCGCACCAGCATGGGCGCACCAGCATGGGCTCTCCAGCATGGTCTCTCCAGCATGGTCTCTCCAGCATGGGCGCACCAGCATGGGCTCACCAGCATGGGCGCACCAGCATGGGCTCACCAGCATGGGCTCACCAGCATGGGCGCACCAGCATGGGCGCACCAGCATGGGCGCACCAGCATGGGCGCACCAGCATGGGCGCACCAGCATGGGCGCACCAGCATGGGCTCACCAGCATGGGCGCACCAGCATGGGCGCACCAGCATGGGCGCACCAGCATGGGCGCACCAGCATGGGCTCTCCAGCATGGGCGCACCAGCATGGGCGCACCAGCATGGGCGCACCAGCATGGGCGCACCAGCATGGGCTCTCCAGCATGGGCTCTCCAGCATGGGCGCACCAGCATGGGCTCTCCAGCATGGACGCACCAGCATGGGCGCACCAGCATGGGCGCACCAGCATGGGCGCACCAGCATGGGCTCACCAGCATGGGCTCACCCGCATGGGCGCACCAGCATGGGCGCACCAGCATGGGCGCACCAGCATGGGCGCACCAGCATGGGCGCACCAGCATGGGCGCACCAGCATGGGCGCACCAGCATGGGCGCACCAGCATGGGCGCACCAGCATGGGCGCACCAGCATGGGCGCACCAGCATGGGCGCACCAGCATGGGCGCACCAGCATGGGCGCACCAGCATGGGCGCACCAGCATGGGCGCACCAGCATGGGCGCACCAGCATGGGCGCACCAGCATGGGCGCACCAGCATGGGCCACCAGCATGGGCGCACCAGCATGGGCGCACCAGCATGGGCGCACCAGCATGGGCGCACCAGCATGGGCGCACCAGCATGGGCGCACCAGCATGGGCGCACCAGCATGGGCCACCAGCATGGGCGCACCAGCATGGGCGCACCAGCATGGGCGCACCAGCATGGGCGCACCAGCATGGGCGCACCAGCATGGGCGCACCAGCATGGGCGCACCAGCATGGGCGCACCAGCATGGGCGCACCAGCATGGGCGCACCAGCATGGGCTCTCCAGCATGGGCTCTCCAGCATGGGCGCACCAGCATGGGCTCTCCAGCATGGACGCACCAGCATGGGCGCACCAGCATGGGCGCACCAGCATGGGCTCACCAGCATGGGCTCACCAGCATGGGCGCACCAGCATGGGCGCACCAGCATGGGCGCACCAGCATGGGCGCACCAGCATGGGCGCACCAGCATGGGCTCTCCAGCATGGTCTCTCCAGCATGGGCGCACCAGCATGGTCTCTCCAGCATGGGCGCACCAGCATGGGCTCACCAGCATGGGCTCACCAGCATGGGCTCACCAGCATGGGCGCACCAGCATGGGCGCACCAGCATGGGCGCACCAGCATGGGCGCACCAGCATGGGCGCACCAGCATGGGCGCACCAGCATGGGCGCACCAGCATGGGCGCACCAGCATGGGCGCACCAGCATGGGCGCACCAGCATGGGCGCACCAGCATGGGCGCACCAGCATGGGCGCACCAGCATGGGCGCACCAGCATGGGCGCACCAGCATGGGCGCACCAGCATGGGCGCACCAGCATGGGCGCACCAGCATGGGCGCACCAGCATGGGCGCACCAGCATGGGCGCACCAGCATGGGCGCACCAGCATGGGCTCTCCAGCATGGGCTCTCCAGCATGGGCGCACCAGCATGGGCTCTCCAGCATGGACGCACCAGCATGGGCGCACCAGCATGGGCGCACCAGCATGGGCTCACCAGCATGGGCTCACCAGCATGGGCGCACCAGCATGGGCGCACCAGCATGGGCGCACCAGCATGGGCGCACCAGCATGGGCTCTCCAGCATGGTCTCTCCAGCATGGGCGCACCAGCATGGTCTCTCCAGCATGGGCGCACCAGCATGGGCTCACCAGCATGGGCTCACCAGCATGGGCTCACCAGCATGGGCGCACCAGCATGGGCGCACCAGCATGGGCGCACCAGCATGGGCGCACCAGCATGGGCGCACCAGCATGGGCGCACCAGCATGGGCGCACCAGCAAGGGCGCACCAGCATGGGCGCAGGGCGCACCAGCATGGGCGCACCAGCATGGGCGCACCAGCCGTGAACAGCTAAACAGAACCGTTCTAAACATAGGATTTGAACATTGTCAAGAGTTCTGTTTGTCTGTGCATTCATCTTCACTCTTTTTAATGTACTGTGAGATTATTTATGTTTGTATTGATTTTTGTCTATCTAGTTTTGTTAAGAGCTTTGAGTTGCGTTGTGTATGAACGATTCTATACAAGAAAAGCTTTGCCTTTTCTATGCAGCAGCCTCTCTTCCCACAAACGTTTCCCAAAACCTTCCGACGTATTTCTGTTATAATCTCTTTACAAAGTCTCAGGGTTTCAACTTGTTTCTGTTTTAAGGGTTTAGATAACATTCATTTACCTTTTATACCTTTTCACAAGTCTTGTCTGCGCGCCACAATCAGCCATTTTGTATTCTCATTCTTGCAGTAAATGTATTTTGATTTCTCAGCACTCATTTCCTTTGCATGCGTGCCACTCCTAAAAACAAATCTGCTTGTTCTGATCGCCACGAATCACCCTGCTCAACGTGATGTAACTTCTTTTTTAATTTTGTCCTCTTTTTTTTTTCTTTTCTTTTTCGCTGACAGAAAAATATCGTGCACAGAGACCTCAAGCTTGGAAACATGGTGCTGAACAAACGGTAAGTCAAAACCACTCTCTCAACCGGCGACTTTTTTTTTATACCCTCCCTGATTTTTAGCTTCTGCCAGTAAGTCTATGAGCGTGGAGTTCTTTTCTTTTTTTAGCTCTGGGTGATGGCATTGACCGTCCAGGCCCCGGGGTCACATTCTCAGACTCCAATTGAAATTAGTCACAGGAACTCGGAGACCTCTGTGTGCGCGCCTCGTCCGCTCGCTAGCCCCGTGTTGATTAAAGCTTGTGTGATTTTCGTTCTCCCTGGATTACTCTTTTTATGGAGGCGCTAGTTTCAGCCTCTCTCGCTTTGTTCCCGGTCCTGAGTAATGGTGCGTACCGCTGCTCTCTGCCCCGGGTCGCCTCAGTTCAATGGGGGCTGGCTTTTTTCTCCATGCACCGAGATGAACCCTCCTATGGCGCAGTGGGATTTTTTATTTTATTTCATATTTTATTCATAGAGACCTTTACAACACGCAAGGCGACCAAAGGGATTAACTATAAAATCACTTAAAATCCAGTAAAAGATTGGTTTGTGATGGCTGCTACTCTGTATAGGAAGTCAATCTCTGATGTAAAGACTTATGTGTCAGATTGTACCGGATTTAGTTTTTTTGCAACATTTAGTGTATAGCAGAGGTGGGACAAAGTCATTGTTTAGCAAGTCACAAGTCAGTCTCAATTCATTGCCCTCAAGTCCCGAGTCAAGTCACGAGTCAAGACAGGCAAGTCCCGAGTCGAGTCCAAGTCAAAGGCCAACAAATCTCAAGTCAGTCCCAAGTCCTACGGTTTGACTTTCGAGTCCTCTCGAGTCTTTTTGACCGCGATTTGTTTCTTGTTGGTCTCCACGTACTTTTGTAGGCAAACAAAATAATGTTAGGAATCATTTTGCTGGTGCATTCTCGTTGGTCTCTGACCCATGGACTAACAGTTTGTTCCATGTCGTTGGCTGCTGATAAATCAAAACTATCTACGTGATCTAATTGGATGTTGTGCCAGATGCAGGCTCAGTTACACATGCACAGACCACACATAAAACCAGAGCAGTCCGTGTCAACATACTTTTTATCTTTGGGGTTTTTAATGGGAAGTAGCAAGTGCAGCATATATGAATAGTATGCTTATATTATAATCAATTAATCTCAGTATTGGGCTAGGACCTGTATCTATATAATCAGTTTAATGTCCGTAGTGGTTATTGTTCCAAATGTCCTACTGTAGAATAGGGGTAGTATGAGGGGTCTAGGCCAGGGCTTAAAGTTTTCCGGCACCGTGCCGGAAATCCGGCGTGAGAAAAAAAAAAATCACTTTTTTTTTTTTTTAATATATATATATAAATAAATAATGATTGCTGTCATTTGAAAAAGGTTCAAGTGTGTTCTACCAATTGTATGAAAGGATTGCATGTGTATAGCGCAGGGATTAAAGAGTTCCGTCTAAGTGACGGATTTCCGTCAAATGAAATTGGTCTGAAAAAAAAAACAAAATATATAATAATATAATACACACAATGAAATGGTTAATTATAACAAAATATATAGTAATACGTGTGAATCTGTTGTATATATCTAGATATATATTAATAATTTGAATATAATTGTATTTATATGTATATAGAAATAAAAAGTAATATAATCACGAGTGGGCCTTGAACGTGCCGTGGCTAGCTACATGAGCGCTCCGTAAATGATTCAAGGCAGTGGGACGTAGCCAAGTTAGCGATGGTAACACAGAGGTGAAAGTTTCTGAAAAGTGCACGGAGCTTTTGAAAAGGAGAAGAGGACAAGGAAAATGTAATCCCGAACGGAGCAATAACAGCCAGCAGCCCGCGGACCGGTAAACTGGGCGCGTTATCAGAGGAAAGGTAGGACATAATTAACGTTTACCAAACGCAATGCTTTTTTATTTAACGGAATGTACAATATGTACTTTGCTGTGACTGGAAATGGGGACAAGCGTGTCTTGGTGAGCTTTTGATAATATCTTGGTGGCGATCCGCATGCAAAACTCTGCGTGATAAAAAAGCCAATCAACGAGAGCGAACGGAAGAAACTCGCTGAAGAAAGGTGTGTGTTAGCAGGTCTTATATTCATTCATCAAAGCTAGCCTAGCATGCACGCACAATCACAATCATGGATCGTTGTTTATGGAAGAAGGAGCAGTATAAGTTGCTGTTGATAACAGTGAAAAATAAATGGAGGTGGGCATGGCTGGATGAGGTGGAGACGATGGGATTCTGTTGCTTCCTGGTGCAAAAAGATGAAGGTGTCCGGTGCTTGTTCGTACTTCGCTATTATTATTTTTTTATATGGGAGTAATGAGAAAACAAATCAAACAGCTTTGGATTCACCACCAGCTCAAAACTGCGCACTTGGCAGCTGTCCGTGCACTTTCCCACACTTCTTTACCTGGTGCATCAGATTCAGCGACAACTGAGACTAGGCTTGCTCTGGTGGACTGTGTCTGTGACCTAAAACTATCTGTGGCTTTATCGCAGAAAATAACCTGTCGTTCAGAACCATCACTACCGCTGGTAGATTTAATTATCATTAATCATTTGCAGTTGATAAAACTGCGCTGTGCACTAGCACCAAGTTGATAGGGAAACCTTTTTCTTAAACATTGAGTGTCCACAAACAAATGTGGACAGAATTTTGAATGTCCTTTTTAACATGTTGGGCGGAGGGTTTAATGAGGAGGCTACTTTGTCTGAACAATTAAATAGAGGGAAAAAACCGCATGGTCCAGAGGAGGAGGCAGCTGGTGCAGAGGAGAGTTGTCTGGCTGGTCCAGAGGAGGAGGCAGCTGGTGCAGAGGAGGAGGCAGCTGGTCCAGAGGAGAGTTGTCTGGCTGGTCCAGAGGAGGAGGCAGCTGGTGCAGAGGAGAGTTGTCTGGCTGGTCCAGAGGAGGAGGCAGCTGGTGCAGAGGAGAGTTGTCTGGCTGGTTCAGAGGAGATGATAAAAAGGCTGCAGCCCCACCGCACCAGCCAGACAACTCTCCTCTGCACCAGCTGCCTCCTCCTCTGGACCAGCCAGACAACTCTCCTCTGCACCAGCTGCCTCCTCCTCTGGACCAGCCAGACAACTCTCCTCTGCACCAGCTGCCTCCTCCTCTCCACCAGCTGCCTCCTCCTCTGGACCAGCCAGACAACTCTCCTCTGCACCAGCTGCCTCCTCCTCTGGACCAGCCAGACAACCCTCCTCTGCACCAGCTGCCTCCTCCTCTGGACCAGCCAGACAACCCTCCTCTGCACCAGCTGCTTCCTCCTCTGGACCATGCGGTTTTTTCCCTCTATTTAATTGTTCAGACAAAGTAGCCTCCTCATTAAACCCTCCGCCCAACATGTTAAAAAGAAAGCATACAGATAATTCACACCCTAAACAAAAGAAAAAAATGAATATTTCAAACAGTACTGTTAGCATTTGTGTTGTTTTGTAATGTTTTACCAAATCAAAGTCTATTGAAAGTTAACACAGGTGCTTTATGAAGACACACAGCACAAAGCTCATTTGCACTTTAGTTTCATTTATTTGTGTTGAAAGCTAAATGTTTAATAAGTAGAATTTAAAAGTTAAGGTTTATTTATATATTTAAGGTTGAATCTGGAAGTGTTCTTGTTGCCTGATCCAGTGTTTTTAGTTTTTGTATGTCATATCTGATGTCTAGTTTGGATGTTTAATCAGTTTACACATAAAATGTTAGTAATAACATCAATAATAATTAAAAAAAAGAAAATAGTATATTCACTTACTGTGATGTGGTATGTTTTTTTTTTTTTTTTTACATTATCACACAAATCCAAACTAGGGGTACTTGCAGAAAGGTCTTGGCAAGGTGAGGCTTTACATTTAAGTAACAATTCAATAGTCAGATGATGTATTTATTGCCAACAACTGATGTTTATAATAAACATCAGTTGTTGGCAATAAATAGATATAAATTATATGTATGAGCGTATAAAGGCGCTTATAAAAAACGCTTATTAGTGATCATTCTATGATTCATATAGATGGTTCAGGCTCAGGAATTTTTTCAACTTTAACCCATGGTCTAGGCTTTGGACCTGGGGCAGCTCGCCATCAACTGGACCAGCATTAGCAATATCTCATAATTACCAATATATCATTACATAATAAAATGTCTCATATAAATTAATTCAATCAGTCAAAGCACTGATTCTCATATCAATGCACCATAAACAATAGTGCAAATATTAATCTAGCTTAGTGCACATAATCAAAACAACTATCTAATGTATGCAAACTTTAGCAGGAGGAGCACAGCAAAAACATACTCATAATAATAGGCCTCGGCGCCCACACAGAAAAATATAAGAAAGAGCCAACAGAGCAGCGCAGGCTAGCGCTAGTTTGACTCACCAGTTTCTCTTTAAAACACGGCACACAGTGTGACAACTGCGTCAATTCAATTGTATGAGGCGCCTGTAGTGAAAGCATATCAATTACGGTTTGTAGAACAAAGTATGACGTTAGGTCGCGATAAATACCTGCAGCTCGCTCATTTCCAGCTCCCCTACGACAACACACCCACCGGTGAATGCAGTGCGCTTGTTTAGGGAAGTGTTGCTGCGCGAACTGCGGGGAACTCACGTTCGAACTCTCTCGCGAGCGCTACAACTACCGCGAGACTTTGTTTCTTCAGAGACGGCATAGATAGAAAGAAAGATGCGGAGAAAGGTAAAAATGGCCCGGGTTACGCAAGTCTTTACAAGTCGATTGGCGCAAGTCCAAGTGAAAGTCAGAGTCATTGATGTTAAAGTCCAAGTCGAGTTGCAAGTCTTTTTATATTTGGTCAAGTCGAGTCTAAAGTCATCAAAATCATGACTCGAGTCTGACTCGAGTCCAAGTCACATGACTCGAGTCCACACCTCTGGTGTATAGTGTATTACAAGGTTAAGAGATTAAGAAATCCTTATTCGTTCCACAGTGGATGAAATTTCAGTGTTGCATCGTCGGTTACATAACAGTTAACAATAACAATAACTCTATATAAAATCTCTAACTCTAGCATGAATTAGAAACAGGTATATCATCTCTAGCTTTAAGCATGAGTACAAAAACTTTAGCATAACAAAGAAGTATAAAGCCTAGCGTACATCGGACTGGCAACTGATTATATCCGTCGCCTTTGAGTTGCTGCCCCGCACACATCGAGAATCTGGCGAAAACGGGCAACTCCTGTAGCAGACCAGTCTGGGGAATAACAGCAACTGGCCTCAACTACAGTGTTTTTCTGACATAAACTGTAGAGGGCGCAATACACACATGTTGTTGGAGCACATCGGGTGATATCTCCGGATCTGAGGACAACCAGTGGCCGAAAAGTAGAACACGGGCAACTGACTGAATCCGAGACCGACTGTTTATCTCCAGTTGTAAGAGCGCTCACATCGACCGATTTCAACCCATCATCTACTCTCAGTCGCCAAAAGCCGCCTTGCAACTAGTTGTCTCCAGTTACTCTGTCGATGTACGCTAGGCTTAAAGTCTCTAGCTTTAGCATGATGAGTACAAAAACTTTAGCATATTGAAGTATTAAAGCTTTTCCTTTTTTTATAAGAAGCAAGTATAAAGTGCTGTGAATTCTAGTGCAAGGTTCAACTGTATTGTCCCCTCAGAGAAATGTGTCTTAGGCTCACAGCTGTTAGACGCAAACATACAAGACAAGAACATAGTACAGCACCGTCCCATTGGTGCATGGAAACGGAATAACACACTGGTAAAAGACCAGAGATAACAAACAGTATTACTCAATAAGCTACAAAGTGCATACAGTAAGATATGCGATTGGAAGATAGCAAACCAATTAGCTTTGTCTAAGAAGAAGACGAGATGGACCTTCCTAAACTTGACTGGAACTTACGTATTGGTAGAGTTTAGTTTGGAGTGAGCCTGAAATGTGCAGAACATGAATGATTGGTGTGCGCGCTGCTGTCTTGTTGCTATCTTAGATCTGTCTCTCTGTCACCCTCGCTGCGGCGTCGATGATGAAACAGGAGTGTTTTTTGGCCGTGGCGGCGAGGGGAAAGGGGCAGACGAGCGGAACACTTGGTCCCAGCAGTTTGAGACAAAGCAGAGGTCTGCCAAGGGCCCCATAGCTCACAGCTGACTCACAGCAAGCCACAGCATCCACACACACTGCAATAGACCCCGGAGTCAAGGGCTCTTGGCTTTCGGGGCCGTGCACTATACACCGTTCCTCTTTCCTCTTCTGTCACCTTTCCCGAAAACTCCACAAAGCAGCGTTTCCTTGTTTTGGGTCTTCCTGTTGTGTCACTCCGGATGAGAATGAGACAATGCCGTGTCATCAAAACGGAGGAAATCCCTGTCAAACGGTTTGGAATCAACTACTGTCAGATTCAGATGATTCTTTTAGGACGTTTATGGACAGTCATCCCGCCCCCAATGGCTCCTATGTGTTTGTTATTGTAATTCCAGTTTGAACTGATTCGCTGATTTGTACTTAAATGTATGTAGGAGGATTTTCTCCACTTTTCTCCACTTTTTGAACCAAACTTTGTCTTATTGTACGAGCTTGATGATTCACCCGGAAGTGTAATATCCTCCTATGTACCTTTAATTCTTGCTTCATCGTGCCGCAGTTGGATATTTTAAGACTTCTTTCCTTATTATGCTAAAGATGGAGATTTGATATTATTTTATTTTAGTATTGTTTATATAGTATAGTATTTATTTAACTTGTGTTGTGTGCTCCTCATTCCTACTGTTCTGTAACTGGGGATGCACAACTGACATTTCCCCGCCGTGGGATGGATAAAGGATCTCTTAATCTGAATCTGTTGTTGATGAAGCTAAACATCGTCAGGTTCTCAGTAAATTGAATTGAATTGTCTCACAGGTGTGGATTAGCAACACATTTCCCCTTATATTGCTTATATTTTAGTTTATTTTGATAAGAAACTGAAGTTATTTAACTAATAATACTTCATTTTGATACTTGACTTTGTCTTTCTCTCTCTCTCCGTCGCACTGCTCTCAATGATCCAATCTCTAATCTGCTCCTTGTGTCAAACGGTTCGACTTGTTCAGCTTCTCTCCTGGCCGCCTCAGCTGCCGCACAGCACGGTGGGAGAGTCATGAGGATCATTTGAGTCTCCGGTTTCCTGCCTCCGCTGGGTCGTATGACCAGGAAGCGGCCTGCGGCGTGGTCTCTCCCACTCTCGTCCTCAGGGACCCGAGCCTCATGGGGCTGGCGTGCACTTTCATTTAGCCAATCCCCGGTGCACGGACACAGAAGCAGGAGTCGTGATGGCGCTCAGACAAAAGCCCAGGCTCTTTCCATAAAGGAAGCTCTGATGAGGAGGGTCCTTGAAGCAGCACCTCGGCCCATCCCCTCAGGCACGACCACAGAAGCTCAACACAAACCTAAGAAGCCAGTCGTGACCACTCCAATCGCTAATTGAATGCGGCTATTAATGTTGGAGAGAAGGAGTTGTTCACAGGACTTGGCTCCAGACTCGCAGTGAAGCCGTCAGTGTGAGAAGTGTGAAAGTGGGAGCGAAATAGAGGAAGCAGTCGACCTCAGGCTCTGTGGAAAGAGGATGTGGAGCGTGATCCAGAGAGGTCTTGTCCCCGAGGGGCACGTGAGGCCCGGCACTTTGCGAGATTTAACGCTTTTCTGAGCCTCGTACTCCTCAGGCAGACTGCGATCAAGCCGCGTTAGTCAAAGAGAAAATTATCCCAAGCCACAGGTTGAGTCATATGTTTGTCTTAAGTGTGGGCTCTGCATTTTCCTTTTTCTGAAGAACGCTGGGAGAACAGAAAGAAAAAAGTCTTGTTCATCTTGTTTTGAGAAAGTGACTCTCCCCTCTGCAACAGCGAAACTAAATATAGTCAAGTGAATCATGCTACACTGTGCTTCATGGTATGAGTCCAAAGTCTTCTCGGGGAAGAGTTTCTGCAGAGATGTGTGTTGTCCTGCAAAGATCAGATGTCTGTGTCTCTCTGAGTGCATTTCAGTAATCCATGACTGTGCGAGGCTGCGCACAAATCACACTGGTGAAAGATCCAGACTTTCAATGACATTTACGGGCGTTTATGGACATTGGTTTTATGGATCAATGGCTCTTTGGGTTTTCCTTCATTGCATTTCTTGTGTTTGAACTGTGTTGGCGAATCTGCGGTTTTGTAAAGTCACAAATCTTCTGCTAATGCGTGCAGAGACCAACAGTCAATAAACATTCACATCACATTACCTTCAGCCGATTGTGAAGAAATGAATCGCCGACCACAAACATTTTCGCTCGTAGCCGCCGAGTGGAAAGTGAAAGAACTGGAGGATCATACTTTTCAGAAACTCAGAGATGTTGGTGTTTTTGTAGGATGGGTCTAAAAGCAACATGAAAGTTTCAGATAAGGCCGCACATCCCTGTAGTCTGGGCTAGCGTGCTGGATTTAAAAAACTGCAACTGTTTTTCACTCCTTTTCCAAAAGCAACATGCACCGGTGTTCGAGAGCTGCGTATGGACTTTGACTAACGTTACCTGGTTGTGGATTTACTTGGTTGAAAGCTGGTTAAGATCAGAGAATGTTATTTGTGGAGGAGGAGGTGCAGAGGCGACATCTTTCTATATATTTCTCTTCGTCTTTCGCACTATTCTCCTCGTGCACTTCGTCGTTCCTTCACCGTGAGTCACAGCAGAAGTTCTGGCTCCATCCTTATAGAAAAGCCCTTATAGTGAGTTAGTAAGTAAGTATTTATTTATATACCGCCTTTTCACTGCAGATCTGAGTCTCAAAGCGGTTTACAATTGTTAATTTTTGGGCATTTGTCTCTCACTCCACACAGAGATGGGAGCAGGGCCAGTACAGGAGGCGCATGCTAGAACTATCGGACATATTTTTAGTGGTAGGGGAAACCGGAGTACCCGGAGTAAACCTACGCAGACACGGGGAGAACATGCAAACTCCACTCAGAAAGACCCTGGTCCGACCGGGACCTTCTTGCTGAGAGGCGAGAGTGCTATCCACTCAGCCACCGTGCCGCCCATATATAGACATATATAGACACATATAGAAAACGATCACACAGACGCACAAATCCGTCCAGTAGACAGATTTGAGGCAGAAATTCTAAATATTTAACACCCTTTTTCAGCAGTCTAATCGATATTTTCCTCTGTGCCGCAGGACTCATAGGATCACCATCACAAATTTCTGTTTGGGAAAGCACCTGGTGAGCGAGGACGACTTGTTGAAAGACCAGAGAGGAAGTCCCGCCTACATCAGCCCCGACGTCCTCAGTGGTAAGTGAAAAAACACAATCTCTTTGAAGCGAATATGAGAAAAGAAGCCATTTGACAAATTAGCGTATTTATGTTTGCACAGCCGTCGTGATTTGGAGACTTTGTACCTCTGCCTATGTTTGTGAATCTTTTCGTATGTACAACAGATAGTTATTCTGTTTTAATCCATACTCTAACTGGGCTCCAACTCACAGCTAAATAAATACTAACGGATGAGTCTAGAAAGTGATGTCATCAAAAGACCTCGTTTGCAGGGTCCTTTTGTCGTCTCTGCAGCTGTATCTGGTCTTGTTGAAAATGGTGGTTCTTTCACTAAAGCATTTAACATCTGATTTTTATAATGGATAAACTAGTGTCAGCTCCAGAGTTAAGTGTCTCCTCCCAGCGTTGAATCCAGTGCAGTTCAAAGTCTGCTGTGTCTGTGTGGGGGTGTGTGTATGTCTCTCTGTCTCTATCGCTTTGTGGATCTCTGTGTGTGTGTGTGTGTGCCTGTCTCTGTGTGTCTGTATGTGCGTGTGTGTTTCTCTGTGTTGTGTCTGTGTGTGTCTCTCTCTGTCTCTATCACTTTGTGTATCTCTGTGTGTGTGTGTGTGTGTGTCTGTCTCTGTCTGTGTGTGTGTCTCTCTGTCTCTATTGCTTCGTGTATCTGTGTATGTGTGTCTGTCTGTGTTGTGTCTCTGTCTGTCTGTGTGTGTGTGTGTGTCTCTCTGTCTCTATTGCTTCGTGTATCTGTGTATGTGTGTCTGTCTGTCTGTGTGTGTGTGTGTCGCTCTGTCTCTATTGCTTTGTGTGTCTGTGTGTGTCTCTCGGTCTCTGTGTGTCTCTGTGTTGTGTCTCTGTTTCTACTATCTGTGTGTGTCTGTGTCTCTGTCTCGCTGTGTGTGCGTCTCTGTCTCTGTGTGTCTATCTGTTTGTGTGTGTGTGTGTGTGTGTGTGTGTGTCTCTCTGTCTCTGTGCGTGTGTGCGTATCTGTAAAAACGTAAAACACAATTAAGCAGTGCTCCGGTGAGTCATGCTCTGAGTCAGTGAAGGGAAACTACTCCCATCGCCCCCCCTCTCCACCTCCCCCCCCCCCCTCTCCACCTCCCCCTCCCTCTTCATCCGCTCCCCCCCCCCCCTCCACCTCCCCCCCCCCTCCCTCCTGTGACACACGCACACACAGTAAGAACCCGGTGCCTGAGTGACTGTGATCCCCGTCTTCAGCCACGGAGCACTCTGCAGGTTCTTTCGGTTCAGTCTCTGTCTCCGGCCGAAGTTTGAAGAGCGATGACATGTTTGTCTGAAGTGAACAATGCCACACAGATGAGTCACTGTTCAGCAAATGTAGGGATCGTTGCATAAGACGGTTTAACTCTGTGTACTGTGAGTGTTGATCCGTGTGATTGTGCGCAGGTCGACCGTACCGCGGGAAGCCCAGCGACATGTGGGCCCTCGGCGTGGTCCTCTTCACCATGCTCTACGGACAGTTCCCCTTCTACGACAGCATACCTCAGGAACTGTTCCGAAAGATCAAGGCTGCAGAGTATTCCATCCCAGAGTAAGTGTCACAGGCTGCGCTCCCGGGAAACCAGGACCCAGGACTTTTCATATTCATAGCTTCATATTCAGAAGAGGGAGAGGGAGGGAGAGGCAGAGGGAGAGGGAGAAGAAGAGTGAGAGGGAGAGGAAGAGGAAGGGAGATATGGAGAGGGAGAGGAAGAAGAAGGGGGAGAGGGAGGGAGAGAAGAGGAGGGAGAGGCAGAGGGAGAGGGAGGGAGAGAAGAGGAGGGAGAGGCAGAGGGAGAGGGAGGGAGAGAAGAGGAGGGAGAGGCAGAGGGAGATGAAGAAGAAGAGTGAGAGGGAGAGGAAGAGGAAGAGGAAGGGAGAGATGGAGAGGGAGAGGGAGGGAGAGAAGAGGAGGGAGAGGCAGAGGGAGATGGAGAAGAAGAGGGAGAGGGAGAGGAAGGGAGAGATGGAGAGGGAGAGGAAGGGAGATATGGAGAGGGAGAGGAAGAGGGAGGGAGAGAAGAGGAGGGAGAGAAGAGGAGGGAGAGGCAGAGGGAGAGGGAGGGAGAGAAGAGGAGGGAGAGGAAGGGAGAGAAGAGGAGGGAGAGAAGAGGAGGGGGAGGCAGAGGGAGAGGGAGGGAGAGGCAGAGGGAGATGGAGAAGAAGAGTGAGAGGGAGAGGAAGAGGAAGAGGAAGGGAGAGATGGAGAGGGAGGGAGAGAAGAGGAGGGAGAGGCAGAGGGAGATGGAGAAGAAGAGGGAGAGGGGGAGGAAGGGAGAGATGGAGAGGGAGAGGAAGGGAGATATGGAGAGGGAGAGGAAGAGGAAGAGGGAGGGAGAGAAGAGGAGGGGGAGGCAGAGGGAGAGGGAGGGATAGGGAGAGGGAGGGAGAGAGGAGGAGGTAGAGGCAGAGGGAGAGGGAGGGAGAGAAGAGGAGGGAGAGGCAGAGGGAGATGGAGAAGAAGAGTGAGAGGGAGAGATGGAGAGGGAGAGGAAGAAGGGGGAGAGGGAGAGGAAGAGGAAGAGGGAGGGAGAGAAGAAGAGGGAGATGAAGAAGGGGGAGAGGGAGAAGAAGAGGAGAGGGAGAAGAAGAAGAGGCAGAGGAAGAAGAAGAAGAGGAAGGGGGAGAGGAAGAGGACGAGGGAGAATATGGAGCAGAGGAAGAAGAAGAGGCAGAGGAAGAAGAAGAGGAAGAGGGAGAGAGAGAGTTGTTATATTCAGAAAAGCAGAACTCAGAGCAGACGTGTGTGTGTGTGTGTGTGTGTTCAGGGACGGCCGTGTGTCCGAGAGCACCGTGTGTCTGATCAGGAAACTGCTGGTTCTGGACCCTCAGCAGCGGCTCACTGCAGGAGAAGTTCTGGAGTCCCTCAGCGCCATCATTGCCTCTTGGTGAGGGCTCCACCTGCTGGATGAATTATTAATTACAGCTGATGTGCAAATGCATTTTGAATTACTCTACTTAAATCTTGTTGTTTTACAGGCAGTCTATTTCCTCCATGAGTGGCCCCCTGCAGGTGGTTCCAGACATCGACGACCAGATCACTCACGTGGAACACCTGCAGGATGTGAGTGACGTCTCTTCAGCTTTAATACTGAGCTTCTACACAGATGATCTAATGCAAACCGTACTTGATCATATTTAACAAAACAAACAAGATAATCTACTACATAAAGCTTCAAATCTGGTTAAACTGATGGTGTAGAATAGGACAGGCTTCTTTTTTCATATCATATGTTTGAACTGTAACTTTGTTGATGTGACGACCAAAATAAAATCAATCTCTGCTTCTCAGGCCAAGGCGATCGAGGAGTCTTCACAGTACGAGTTTGAGAACTACATGCGGCAACAGCTGCTTCTGGCTGAGGAGAAGAACACTATTCATGAGGCCAAGAGTTTCCTCAGTAAGCGGCAGTTTGGCAGCATCCCCCCCGTGAGGCGCCTGGGTCACGACGCTCAGCCTGTCAACCCCCTGGACGCCGCCATCTTGGCACAACGGTTCCTCCGCAAATAACCCTCAGAGCCCTTTTAGTCTCAGGTCTCCAAGCATCGAAGACTGCCATGGATCCAAGAGAGCAGACAGAAGGAGCCTAAACCGAGGTCCCTGAGGTCTCTGAGGGCTCTGAGGTCTCTGAGGTCCCTGAGGGCTCTGAGGTCCCTGAGGTCCCTGAGGTCCCTGAGGGCTTTGAGGTCCCTGAGGCCCACACAGTCTGCTTGCGGCCTGTACAGACGAGGAGCCCAACATGGACGACACATGTGTCCGTGCAGCTGCAGAAAGGCCTGGGCCTGGGCCTCGGCACAACCACAGCCTCTCGGTGCAGTGTCCTGAGGACCTGTTCACCAGAGGTGACCCTGAACTCTTCCTCTGGACCCTGGTCAGGGCCAGAACATGTAGCAGCCCCCCCTCCTGGTGGATCATGGTATTGGATTCCAGATGTCGCTCCTTCCTCCTCTGCTCCTCTGTAACTATGAGCTCCTGTCTGGAACTTGATGAATCTACCTCGGCGTCTTCTGTCGGTGAACCATGTTCTGTCTGAGACTAGAGATTGTAACAACACGTCCTGATGCCACCGATGACTAAATGCATTCATGTTCTGTGTCCAAGTGATAATTGTTTGGAAACCTTGTTTTGTTTGTTTCCACAATGTTGAATAAGCTTCTTTTTTTTAATCACATTTGCCCTTTTGTAGCGTTGTCTTTCTTTTCACCCTCAGCATTTAAAATGAGAACATAAAAGGCTGTTCCAAACACCCTTTATTCCCACCACCTCATTCCTGTTTGTGATGGCGTCTCGGCAGCTAGCTACCTGGAAACATGCCAAGAACTGACGGGGCTAGCACTGTCGGACCTCTCGCCACGGCACATTTACGGTTCTGCTTCCTCAGTGTGTAGTGAACGTCGGACACTGTCAGTTTATATTGCCAAAAAAAATCATGTCTTAAAAAAAACAAATCCTCTTAGCCACGGAACTGGGACCCACTGCCTCATCCCAAGGCTTCCAGGAGACCCCAAACTTCGCCGTTTCTTGCCCCTCTCCGTCCTCACTTGTTTTTGAATGTGTAGGTTTTGTGAGAGACCTGCAGTCCATGGGGTTTGGCGAGTCTGGGTCCGCCTCCGTGACTGTCACTGTGAGATTTCAGACCAGGCTCGCGTCACTCACAAACGCTCGCTAACAAACCTGTTTTTTATCGGTCGCCATCGTTAAGGCCTCAGTCTTTCTACATCCAAACAGTTTCTCCTTGTTTTGAGCCATGGCAAAGCGACTGAGCAGCGACTGTTAGACCTCCGCGTACTGCACCTGGCCTTCGCCGACTGGTACTAGCTTTAGGCTTTATCGAGACTTCCTATTTATATTGAAGCGGTTGCATGAACTCTCTTCTTCTTTCTGATTTTATGTTGATTTTTATTTATTCAATTGTGACTTTTCTTTTCTTTCTTCCAAAAAAACAACGGGGCTCATGTTCTTCGAATGCTTAGCTTTAAGAAATTATTGTTATCGCGATTTATTATTTAAAGTAGCAATCTTTTCTTTTATAATCGACTCATTTCTTGCCATTTTGACACACACACACACACACACACACACACAGTGACACACACACACACACACACACACACACACAGTGACACACACAGGCCAGATTAAGCTACACTAATAATGAGACTGACGTGTATAAATATTTTTAGTTTGAATTTTTAACAATTTTTATGTTTTTTGAGGATTTTGTCTTTTCCTTTTGTCACTACACTGCAGAAAGTGATGAAAAATGTGTCAAAAATTGCTTGAATTTGGCAAAAACATATCTTAATCTGAGCATATTCTGACCGTTTTAACAAGATTTGCCAACGGGACAAAGAAAAATGATCTTGTCTTTAAAAAAATACCTGGCATTTCTCTCTTGGAATGAGAAAATAAAGCAGCAGTTCTTGAAACAAAACTAAATGTCTTTGTCCCATTGGTGAATCTTGTTTTACCACGGTCAGAATGTGTCAGATTACGATAAAACCCGCTCTATTCCAGCGATTTTTACCTAATATTTTCTCGTTTCTGCAGTGTGGTGGTGCTGGAGGCTGTGCTCTCCGCTCAGTCTGTACATATGACATCACACATTCAGTCAGAACACCAGAGCATCGGGAGAACCTTTTCCCGCTACACTGTGAAGCTACGGTCACATGGCAGTATTGTAGTAGTGTAGGTTCATCCAGAAAACGTTTGTTGATCTTTTTTTTGACCCTAATCGATGGCTGAACGGTCACATCGGACGACCGTTTGTGAATGTGCTTTACTCTTCTTCAGGCGCTTTTTTTTCATGTACAATATTTCCCCCTGAATTCAGACGGTTCTGAAAAGCATGGAATGTGTGTCAGGTCAAATACTGCATGATTTCTAACTTGCACGGGGCGTCCCAGAGAATCCAAAAAGGACTTGAGACTCAAAACTGTATTCCCTCACAATTGGAGAGTGTACATGTGTTTTATTTTATTTTGTTTTACTTTTTTTGACTATTATTTTTCTTCTCAAGTTTCTGCAAGTAACTTATATATGGCTGACTGTTTTATTTTAACTGGAATCCAGGTGTAAGATATGAAATGTGTTGTCAGTGGGAGAAGTGCTGTAAGCTGCTTTGTCAGACTCGGGCATCTAGACGACATTAAAACTGCATAATTGTACAGATAATTACACCTTTGTAAAAATAAAACATATTTTTCTACTACATCAGATCTCTACATGCATGTCAGCAATAAACTTTGATATGAAAACACGTCTGTCGTGCTGTGTGAGTTTATGGCCAACAGGGGGCGCACATCTACAGGAGGTCCACCAGCCACCGCAGGCTTTTTGTAGATAACGTAAGATTAAGTAGTCTTCAGAAGTAATGTGTGTATAATGAACATATATATAATTATTTAAGGTTATTTTATATATATTATTCAAGCAGGAAAGTCCCACTGAGATTAGAACCTCTTTTTCAAGGGAGATGAGTATTTTATCCACTCATTCACCATTTATTTATTGTGGGCAAACTTTTGTAGATACTTTCTTGTTTTATTGAGAGCTACTTTTGTAAAACAGAAATGACAGAGTTACTCCTTTAGCCGTTGGATTATAACTGTTGCTTATAATAACAGACAACTAGGAAAATATTTATAGTTAAAATAGTGAATCATTCAGGGTCATGCGTTAAAGACTTTGGGGAGCTACCTGAAAGAGGGTGGCGAGCTACAGGTAGCTCCCGAGCCACAGCTTGGAGACCCACAACATTTAGATGGATGCTAAACATTTGTGTAAAGATGGGGTAGAGCATTGGCCTTTGAGCCTGAAGGTCGTGGGTTCGAGCCCACCCCGGGACTTTATCCACCGACTCCCACTGTCTGCTGTCGTTGTGTCCTTGGGCAAGACACTTAACGCTTGCCTAGAATGAGTCTGGTGTGTGTGTGAATGGTTGGTGGGGGTGGGAGGGGCCGATGGCACAGACTGGTTGCCTCGCTTCTGTCAGTGTGCCCCAGGGCAGCTGTGGGTACAGTAGTAGTTTATCACCACTGTGTTTGGAGTGAATGAATAACGACATGTAAAGTGTCTTTGAGTATCCAACAAAGCGCTGTATAAAACCAATTCATTGTTATTATAATTTATCATACATTTGATTTAATTTGCATTTCTTTACATTTCCACAAAACCTCAAAGTTCTACAGATTCAGACACAAAACAATAGAAACGACATCAAAAGTATCAATTATCAAAAGTATTTCTTATGTCACTCATCTTAAGTTTCCATTGTTCTTTTCACAGTCAGCCGGGCGTTTCACTCTGCCTCCCATGATGCTTTGCTGCTCCTCATAAACTGAACCATCTACAAAAGCCAGACTCAGTGAATCCCAAATGTTTCCTCTCGGACTCCGTCATCGTGATGCCTCTGTCGCCTTTTAACCTCAGACACGTCAGACACGGCAGAATGTAAACAGTTTTCACGCCGCCAGATGTGAGCGTGAAGCGTCATTGTCGAGTCTGTGTTGTTTAGAGTTTTTAGTGTTGATTAGAGGTAACTGGAAGGTGGTTTTCTTTGGGGCTGGGGGTCTCTGACGGATGTAAACAACACGCCTCCTCAGCTGTGGTAAAAACGTCTTACTATTTTATAAAAAGGTTTATAGAGAGAATCAAACACGTCTTTCGTTATTCTTCTACATTATTTTCCGTTCGCATTATTTTGACCAATTAGATGATATTGGACCATTTCCAAAGGCACACCAAAGAACATCTCAAGGCACACTTACTTGATTTAGAACCTCCTGCATCGGCAAGGGACAAAAAAAACAGGAAGTAAAAAGTGAGAAACCCTGGGGAGGCCAATATTGAGAGAGACCCACTCCCACAGACAGACCAGCTGTAGATCCAGGACTGAGGCTGTAGATCCAGGACTGAGGCTGTAGATCCAGGACTTAGGCTGTAGATCCAGGTCTGAGGCTGTAGATCCAGGACTGAGGCTGTAGATCCAGGACTGAGGCTGTAGATCCAGGACTGAGGCTGTAGATCCAGGACTGAGGCTGTAGATCCAGGTCTGAGGCTGAGGATCCAGGACTGAGGCTGTAGATCCAGGTCTGAGGCTGAGGATCCAGGACTGAGGCTGTAGTCCCAGGTCTGAGGCTGTAGATCCAGGTCTGAGGCTGTAGATCCAGGACTGAGGCTGAGGATCCAGGACTGAGGCTGTAGTCCCAGGTCTGAGGCTGTAGTCCCAGGTCTGAGGCTGTAGATCCAGGTCTGAGGCTGTAGTCCCAGGTCTGAGGCTGTAGATCCAGGTCTGAGGCTGAGGATCCAGGACTGAGGCTGTAGTCCCAGGTCTGAGGCTGTAGATCCAGGTCTGAGGCTGTAGATCCAGGACTGAGGCTTTAGATCCAGGTCTGAGGCTGTAGACCCAGGACTGAGGCTGTAGAACCTCCATGGTGTGTGGAGGATAATTTTTCATGTCTCAGTTCAATTCAATTCAATTTATTTTTGTTTAGCCCTAAGTTTCCTCAGAAGTTGTGGATTCGCAAACACAGATCAGAGAATCAAACAATTCAAACTTAGAAAATGCAATGACAAAAACACACAGAGCCATTGGTCCATAACGGGCGGAGACCAATGTCCATAAATGTTATTAATATTCTGTTATTTTAGAAGCTCCACCTGCTACAAAAACAGATCACTGCGTCTGTCTCGTCATAATGTCCTCTTTTCCACTTACAGCTGAGGTGCATTGTGGGTAACGGTATGTTCTGAGTGTGTTTGCAGCAGTGCGTGACCACCGTCCTGCAGACACCACGACCTGCCGTTACCTCCTGAACTTCCTCTTCCTGTGTGAGTCGTTTACCTCGAGGCAACACAACTCTTAATGACTGCATACTGTTTCGAACCAGAACAACACACGACTCGGATACAACAAAAGAGTTTGTCCCACGACGTTAATCCAGGAACAGAGTGTCTCAGACGTGGAGGAGACGGACGCACTACTGCAGCAGGACGACACACAGACTGACACTGACACACACTCACACATACTGACACACACTGACACAGACACATGGCGTACACTCGCACTGACACACACAGACACAGACACATACAGACATACTGACACAGACACACACTGAGTCCCAGCAGGAGGCCTGTCCCTGGCTTGATAATCATTTAGTTCAGTCATTTTGCATGTTTTAGTTGATGACAAATGAATTATACAAAAGCTAAATTTGGCTCAATTTGACCCAGATGAAGTGAAAGTGTGACGTACTCTTCCAGCTGTGAAGGGACTAGAACACAGAGATTATTCCATGACCATAACGAGTCCCCGATATTGAAAAAATGAATGAGTGAGTGGTTCTGACTCACTCAATAACACAGCACCTCACAATATCCTTTAAACATTATTTGGAATTGAAGATATTTTGGTTCCTGCCTCCAGTGACCCGCCTGAACCCATCCGTCAAGGGCTCGGCGGGAAATCCACGATGACACAAGAATGAGTGTGTCGTTTTCTGACCATCTGGAGCGCGGCGGAGAAGGGCGCGCGGTCAATGGGCGCCTTGTCTCCGCTGTCAACGGCACGAGTGGCTCTGTCGGGAGATGGAGGAGGTGGAAAACTGAGGACACAGGTACAGCTCCAATTAAAGTGGTGTATTTTTAGAAGGGATTACTGTAGAAATGTGTGTTCTCCGAATCCTGGGCCCAAAATAAGCATTAGTGTGTTCAGTCTTCAGTCAGGAGGAGGCGGAGTCAGAAGTACACTGCAAAAAGTGATGACAAATGAGTAAAAAATTGCTGAAATTTGACAAAATGTATCTTTATCTGAGCACATTTTGACTGAGCTTTAAAACTAAATTTGCCGAAGGGAGAACACAAAATGATCTTGTTTTTAAGAGATACAAGAATAAGGAAAAAAGCTTGAACTGTTGCTTTATTGAAATATTGTTGTATAGGCTTGTATCAGTATTATTGTCTGAAACATAAAAAAGTAAGAGCATTCTTTATTTATATAGCACATATATCGCTACAGGAATGATTGAGAAATATCCAGTTCACAGGATGACCACTAGGGGCGCTGCCAGAAGAGACTGCAGACCAGCAAGATGTGAAACCTCATTTGGTCAGACTGTGTTTGCAGAACTGAAATCTCTAACAAACCTGAAAGAGTTTAAATGAAAGTTAAACAATGGCTCAAAAGGATCTAAACGTGTGAGCACAAGTCAAGACTCTAATAATCTACTTTGTAAATGCTTAGTTCTGTGTAATCTGTGTTTTTATAATGATTTATGTAAATGTGACGTATTTTCAGGTCTGTTAGCCGTTAGCTGCGCAGCCTATGAACATGGCATCGGTTAGCTGTGACAATGCTTTAAGTTCTGTCCCTATCAAATAAACTCAACTGAAGGTTGTGGGTTCGAGCCCAGCACCAGACCTTCTCCACCGACTCCCACTGATGTCTGCTGTCGTTGTGTCCTTGGGCAAGACACTTAACCCCACTTTGCCTGAAGCCCCCGCTGAAAGATCTCAGCTCCTGTGGACTCAGCACCTGCAGGAGGATCAGTGAGGGGCTGGTGCTCTGACGGCCACCCCCCCGACTCAGAAATGGATTAACGGGAAGAAAATGGATGAAATAAATAAATAAATCAACATTTAACAAACCTAGGTCACACAAAGCGCTTTACCGTTTTGTTGTAGAAATTCCCTTTTTGTCCACATGAAACAAGACGTCAAACACATGAAGCACTCCCTCATTACATTCATATACTGTAGTATACATGATTTTAGTGGTAGGGGAAACCGGAGCACCTGGAGGAAACTTGATCAGTCTCATGCAAACTCCACACAGAAAGGCCCAGTCTGGAGGTGGAACCGAACCAGAAACACCAGTGCTAACCACTGCACCAGGCCGACCGTGTAAGTATAAAACAATAACAAGGAGAAAGGCTGTCTGGAAACAAGAGAAAATACTTAAAAACATGAAAAACTCACTGCTCAGATTATGAAGTATTATTATTATCTAAAAACTAGTAAAATAATCTTACATGACAAACTACATTCAAGACAAAAAAAACGTACTCAAAATAATAATCATACATTTTTAAACTTACCAAGATTTTACTTTTGTGTTTCCTGCTGCTACTGCTACTACTACTACTACTACTACTACTACTACTACTACTACTACTACTACTACTATTACTATTACTATTACTACTACTACTACTACTACTATTACTATTACTATTACTACTACTACTACTACTACTACTACTACTACTATTACTATTACTACTACTACTACTACTACTACTACTATTACTATTACTACTACTACTACTACTACTACTACTACTACTACTACTACTACTACTACTACTACTACTACTACTACTACTACTACTACTACTACTACTACTACTATACTACTACTACTACTATTACTATTACTATTACTATTACTACTACTACTACTATTACTATTACTATTACTATTACTACTACTACTACTACTACTACTACTACTACTACTATTACTATTACTATTACTACTACTACTACTACTACTACTACTACTACTACTACTACTATTACTATTACTACTACTACTATACTACTACTACTACTACTACTACTACTACTACTACTACTACTACTACTACTACTACTACTACTACTACTACTACTACTACTACTACTACTACTACTACTACTACTAGGCGGCACGGTGGCTGAGTGGATAGCACTCTCGCCTCTCAGCAAGAAGGTCCTGGGTTCGAATCCCGGTCGGACCAGGGCCTTTCTGAGTGGAGTTTGCATGTTCTCCCTGTGTCTGCGTAGGTTTCCTCCGGGTACTCCGGTTTCCCCTACCACTAAAAATATGTACAATAGGTCTGGCATGTTCCTCCTGTTCGGCGACCCTGCTCCCATCTCTGTGTGGAGTGAGAGACAATTGCCCAAAAAAATAATAACAATTGTAAACCGCTTTGTGACCCTTGTCTGTGAAAGGCGGTATATAAATAAACATTACTTACTTACTACTACTACTTATTGTACAGTCTGACAGCGGTGGGTCAAGAACAGGAAGTTGTATCAGAATCACATTTAATTATAATCACTGTTTTGGATTTAAACCTAATCCTGTTATTGACCTGATCTGGGGACGCTCACACACAGCTGCTCCCGGTTTATTGACGTTTCTGGACCTGTGAAAACACAAACGTCCTCATTAACGACGGATACGACTGTAAAACTTTAATATAAAACTAGGGCCTTTGGGGTCTCTCTCTTTACGCAGAGAAAGGAGATTTCTTGAGAGAGAGATTTTCCCACAGTATTTCTGAGTGTTGTTCTCTGAGTCCGAACCGGGTTTGGCAGAAAGCGATGCACTAAAAGTTTATAGATTGATTAAAGCAAATGTAAACGAGAAAAACAAGTAAACAAGAGAGCGGCGTTTTTAACTAGAACTGTGTGTTTTGTGACGATATATACTGTCTGTAATGAACCTGGAGATCTTTTCTACCTTTTATCTTTCTCTGTTTTTATATGAAATGTTTGTATATTTTCATTAATTTTATGCATTTTCAAGTATTAGAAAAGAGCATGTTTTGTCAGACATACAAATCTGACTTATTATTACTTTGAGGATTTTCCCAAATTTCTGAAAAGAGAGAATTTGTTATTGTTGTTTATCAAAGTGTTTAAATTCTGTTTACATTTAAACCCTGCCTCTTCCTTCACCCCTCCTCCTCCCTCACCTCTCCTCCTCCCTCACCTCTCCTCCTCCCTCACCTCTCCTCCTCCCTCACATCTCCTCCTCCCTCACCTCCCCTCCTCCCTCACATCTCCTCCTCCCTCACATCTCCTCCTCCTTCACCTCTCCTCCTCCCTCACATCTCCTCCTCCCTCACATCTCCTCCTCCCTCACCTCTCCTCCTCCCTCACATCTCCTCCTCCCTCACATCTCCTCCTCCCTCACATCTCCTCCTCCCTCACCTCTCCTCCTCCCTCACCTCTCCTCCTCCCTCACCCCTCCTCCTCCCTCACCTCCCCTCCTCCCTCACCTCTCCTCCTCCCTCACCTCTCCTCCTCCCTCACCTCTCCTCCTCCGTCACATCTCCTCCTCCCTCACATCTCCTCCTCCCTCACATCTCCTCCTCCCTCACATCTCCTCCTCCCTCACCTCTCCTCCTCCCTCACCTCTCCTCCTCCCTCACCTCCCCTCCTCCGTCACATCTCCTCCTCCCTCACCTCTCCTCCTCCCTCACCTCTCCTCCTCCGTCACATCTCCTCCTCCCTCACATCTCCTCCTCCCTCACCTCTCCTCCTCCCTCACATCTCCTCCTCCCTCACCTCTCCTCCTCCCTCACATCTCCTCCTCCCTCACCTCTTCTCCTCCCTCACATCTCCTCCTCCCTCACATCTCCTCCTCCCTCACATCTCCTCCTCCCTCACATCTCCTCCTCCCTCACCTCTCCTCCTCCCTCACCTCTCCTCCTCCCTCACCTCCCCTCCTCCCTCACCTATCCTCCTCACTCACCTCTCCTCCTCCCTCACCTCTCCTCCCTCACCTCTCCTCCTCCCTCACCTCTCCTCCTCCCTCACCTCTCCTCCTCCCTCACATCTCCTCCTCCCTCACTTCTCCTCCTCCCTCACCTCTCCTCCTCCCTCACATCTCCTCCTCCCACACATCTCCTCCTCCCTCACCTCCCCTCCTCCCTCACCTATCCTCCTCACTCACCTCTCCTCCTCCCTCACCTCTCCTCCTCCGTCACATCTCCTCCTCCCTCACATCTCCTCCTCCCTCACCTCTCCTCCTCCCTCACATCTCCTCCTCCCTCACCTCTCCTCCTCCCTCACATCTCCTCCTCCCTCACCTCTTCTCCTCCCTCACATCTCCTCCTCCCTCACCTCTCCTCCTCCGTCACCTCTTCTCCTCCCTCACATCTCCTCCTCCCTCACATCTCCTCCTCCCTCACCTCTCCTCCTCCCTCACATCTCCTCCTCCCTCACCTCTTCTCCTCCCTCACATCTCCTCCTCCCTCACATCTCCTCCTCCCTCACATCTCCTCCTCCCTCACATCTCCTCCTCCCTCACCTCTCCTCCTCCCTCACCTCTCCTCCTCCCTCACCCCCCCTCCTCCCTCACCTATCCTCCTCACTCACCTCTCCTCCTCCCTCACCTCTCCTCCCTCACCTCTCCTCCTCCCTCACCTCTCCTCCTCCCTCACCTCTCCTCCTCCCTCACATCTCCTCCTCCCTCACTTCTCCTCCTCCCTCACCTCTCCTCCTCCCTCACATCTCCTCCTCCCACACATCTCCTCCTCCCTCACCTCCCCTCCTCCCTCACCTCTCCTCCTCCGTCACATCTCCTCCTCCCTCACATCTCCTCCTCCGTCACATCTCCTCCTCCCTCACATCTCCTCCTCCCTCACCTCTTCTCCTCCCTCACATCTCCTCCTCCCTCACATCTCCTCCTCCCTCACATCTCCTCCTCCCTCACATCTCCTCCTCCCTCACCTCTCCTCCTCCCTCACCTCTCCTCCTCCCTCACCTCCCCTCCTCCCTCACCTATCCTCCTCACTCACCTCTCCTCCTCCCTCACCTCTCCTCCCTCACCTCTCCTCCTCCCTCACCTCTCCTCCTCCCTCACCTCTCCTCCTCCCTCACATCTCCTCCTCCCTCACTTCTCCTCCTCCCTCACCTCTCCTCCTCCCTCACATCTCCTCCTCCCACACATCTCCTCCTCCCTCACCTCCCCTCCTCCCTCACCTCTCCTCCTCCCTCACCTCTCCTCCTCCCTCACATCTCCTCCTCCCTCACTTCTCCTCCTCCCTCACCTCTCCTCCTCCCTCACATCTCCTCCTCCCACACATCTCCTCCTCCCTCACCTCCCCTCCTCCCTCACCTCTCCTCCTCCCTCACATCTCCTCCTCCCTCACATCTCCTCCTCCCTCACATCTCCTCCTCCCTCACCTCTCCTCCTCCCTCACCTCTCCTCCTCCCTCACCTCCCCTCCTCCCTCACCTATCCTCCTCACTCACCTCTCCTCCTCCCTCACCTCTCCTCCCTCACCTCTCCTCCTCCCTCACCTCTCCTCCTCCCCTCACCTCTCCTCCTCCCTCACATCTCCTCCTCCCTCACTTCTCCTCCTCCCTCACCTCTCCTCCTCCCTCACATCTCCTCCTCCCACACATCTCCTCCTCCCTCACCTCCCCTCCTCCCTCACCTATCCTCCTCACTCACCTCTCCTCCTCCCTCACCTCTCCTCCTCCGTCACATCTCCTCCTCCCTCACATCTCCTCCTCCCTCACCTCTCCTCCTCCCTCACATCTCCTCCTCCCTCACCTCTCCTCCTCCCTCACATCTCCTCCTCCCTCCTCACCTCTTCTCCTCCCTCACATCTCCTCCTCCCTCACCTCTCCTCCTCCGTCACCTCTTCTCCTCCCTCACATCTCCTCCTCCCTCACCTCTCCTCCTCCCTCACATCTCCTCCTCCCTCACCTCTCCTCCTCCCACACATCTCCTCCTCCCTCACATCTCCTCCTCCCTCACCTCTCCTCCTCCCTCACATCTCCTCCTCCCTCACCTCTCCTCCTCCTCCCTCACCTCTCCTCCTCCCTCACCTCTCCTCCTCCCTCACATCTCCTCCTCCCTCACTTCTCCTCCTCCCTCACCTCTCCTCCTCCCTCACATCTCCTCCTCCCACACATCTCCTCCTCCCTCACCTCCCCTCCTCCCTCACCTATCCTCCTCACCTCACCTCTCCTCCTCCCTCACCTCTCCTCCTCCGTCACATCTCCTCCTCCCTCACATCTCCTCCTCCCTCACCTCTCCTCCTCCCTCACATCTCCTCCTCCCTCACCTCTCCTCCTCCCTCACATCTCCTCCTCCCTCACCTCTTCTCCTCCCTCACATCTCCTCCTCCCTCACCTCTCCTCCTCCGTCACCTCTTCTCCTCCCTCACATCTCCTCCTCCCTCACCTCTCCTCCTCCCTCACATCTCCTCTCCTCCCTCACCTCTCCTCCTCCCACACATCTCCTCCTCCCTCACATCTCCTCCTCCCTCACCTCTCCTCCTCCCTCACATCTCCTCCTCCCTCACCTCTTCTCCTCCCTCACATCTCCTCCTCCCTCACCTCTTCTCCTCCCTCACATCTCCTCCTCCCTCACCTCTCCTCCTCCGTCACCTCTTCTCCTCCCTCACATCTCCTCCTCCCTCACCTCTCCTCCTCCCTCACCTCTCCTCCTCCCTCACCTCTTCTCCTCCCTCACCTCTCCTCCCTCACATCTCCTCCTCCCTCACCTCTCCTCCTCCGTCACCTCTTCTCCTCCCTCACCTCTTCTCCTCCCTCACATCTCCTCCTCCGTCACCTCTCCTCCTCCCTCACCTCTCCTCCTCCGTCACATCTCCTCCTCCCTCACATCTCCTCCTCCCTCACCTCTCCTCCTCCCTCACATCTCCTCCTCCCTCACCTCTCCTCCTCCCTCACCTCTCCCTCCTCCCTCACCTCTCTTCCTCCCTCACCTCTCCTCCTCCCTCACCTCTTCTCCTCCCTCACCTCTCCTCCCTCACATCTCCTCCTCCCTCACCTCTCCTCCTCCCTCACATCTCCTCCTCCCTCACATCTCCTCCTCCGTCACCTCTTCTCCTCCCTCACCTCTTCTCCTCCCTCACATCTCCTCCTCCATCACCTCTCCTCCCTCACATCTCCTCCGTCACATCTCCTCCTCCCTCACCTCTCCTCCTCCCTCACCTCTCCTCCTCCCTCACATCTCCTCCTCCCTCACCTCTTCTCCTCCCTCACCTCTCCTCCCTCACATCTCCTCCTCCGTCACCTCTCCTCCTCCCTCACATCTCCTCCTCCCTCACATCTCCTCCTCCGTCACCTCTTCTCCTCCCTCACCTCTTCTCCTCCCTCACATCTCCTCCTCCGTCACCTCTCCTCCTCCCTCACCTCTCCGTCACATCTCCTCCTCCCTCACATCTCCTCCTCCCTCACCTCTCCTCCTCCCTCACATCTCCTCCTCCCTCACCTCTCCTCCTCCCTCACATCTCCTCCTCCCTCACATCTCCTCCTCCCACACCTCCCCTCCTCCCTCACCTCTCCTCCTCCCTCACCTCTCCTCCAGACTCACCTCTCCTCCTCCATCACCTCTCCTCCTCCCTCACATCTCCTCCTCCCTCACCTCTCCACCTCCCTGACCTCTCCTCCTCCGTCACATCTCCTCCTCCCTCACCTCTCCTCCTCCGTCACATCTCCTCCTCCCTCACCTCCTCCCACACCTCTCCTCCTCCCTCACATCTCCTCCTCCCTCACCTCTCCTCCTCCCTCACATCTCCTCCTCCCACACCTCTCCTCCTCCCTCACATCTCCTCCTCCCTCACCTCTTCTCCTCCCTCACATCTCCTCCTCCCCTCACCTCTCCTCCTCCGTCACCTCTCCTCCTCCCTCACATCTCCTCCTCCCTCACCTCTCCTCCTCCCTCACATCCCCTCCTCCCTCACCTCTCCTCCTCCCACACCTCTCCTCCTCCCTCACATCTCCTCCTCCCTCACCTCTTCTCCTCCCTCACCTCTCCTCCCTCACATCTCCTCCTCCCTCACCTCTCCTCCTCCCTCACATCTCCTCCTCCCTCACATCTCCTCCTCCGTCACCTCTTCTCCTCCCTCACCTCTTCTCCTCCCTCACATCTCCTCCTCCGTCACCTCTCCTCCTCCCTCACATCTCCTCCTCCGTCACATCTCCTCCTCCCTCACCTCTCCTCCTCCCTCACCTCTCTCCTCCCTCACCTCTCCTCCTCCGTCACATCTCCTCCTCCGTCACATCTCCTCCTCCGTCACCTCTCCTCCTCCGTCACCTCTCCTCCTCCCTCACATCTCCTCCTCCCTCACCTCTCCTCCTCCCTCACCTCTCCTCCTCCCTCACATCTCCTCCTCCCTCACCTCTCCTCCTCCCTCACCTCTCCTCCTCCCTCACCTCTCCTCCTCCCTCACATCTCCTCCTCCGTCACATCTCCTCCTCCCTCACCTCTCCTCCTCCCTCACCTCTCTCCTCCCTCACCTCTCCTCCTCCGTCACATCTCCTCCTCCGTCACATCTCCTCCTCCGTCACATCTCCTCCTCCGTCACCTCTCCTCCTCCCTCACCTCTCCTCCTCCCTCACATCTCCTCCTCCCTCACCTCTCCTCCTCCCTCACCTCTCCTCCTCCCTCACATCCCCTCCTCCCTCACCTCTCCTCCTCCCACACCTCTCCTCCTCCCTCACATCTCCTCCTCCCTCACCTCTTCTCCTCCCTCACCTCTCCTCCCTCACATCTCCTCCTCCCTCACCTCTCCTCCTCCCTCACATCTCCTCCTCCCTCACATCTCCTCCTCCCTCACCTCTCCTCCTCCCTCACCTCTCCTCCTCCCTCACATCTCCTCCTCCCTCACCTCTCCTCCTCCCTCACCTCTCCTCCTCCATCACCTCTCCTCCTCCCCTCTTCCCCCCCTCCTCCCTCACCCCTCCCTCCTCCTCCCCTCTCCTCCTCCCTCCCTCCTCCACCTCTCTTCCCCCCTCCTCCCTCTCCCCTCCCTCCTCCTCCCCTCTTCCCCCCTCCTCCCTCTCCCCTCCCTCCTCCTCCCCTCCCTCCTCCTCCCCTCCCTCCTCTCTCCTCACCTTTTTTGTTTTCACATTGTCATCATTTTGTGTAAAGCAGCAGAAGAAGCATCAGACTCATTTATTTTGAGATATTTTGTGTTTGTTTACGTGTCCATGTGGGCTGGGCCTGCGAGACACTGAGATAAAAATAAATGTGTTTCTATCCATCTATTGTATTTGCTGTTTTGATTCTCTGATCTTTGTAAACTCCTCGGACGACTGCTGTTTTGATTCATACCAAAATAAATTGATATATTTTAACAGAACATTCTCATCTCGGAAACGTTTGACCGGAAACATCCCCAGACCTGCACTTTCCCGTCTCTACAGCAGGCTGCAGTGTAAAGTCTGCTCTGAGCCACTCGTCCGTCAGTCTTACAGATGCCTTTCACAGCTGTCCCTGCTCAGCCCACTCAGAAGAACTCAAACTTACTCCAAAAATATCTCTGAGATCCAACTGTCTGCACCTCCCTCCGTCCCCCACACATTCCTCTACAACACTCTTCAAACATCACACTATACTTCTTATTAGGCTAAAGTTTGCCTTAGAGATGTCCATTCTTGCTTCTTTATTATGCTAAAGTTAGAGATGTTATACTTGCTTCTTTTTTATGCTAATGGATCTATAGTAATAACTGGATAGGGTATCACTAGCTTACAGCTGTCCCACCCATGGCCACAGGGGGCGCTGTGGTACTGCAGACTAAATTCACGTGGGCTACCCAGAAAAAAGTCCCATAGATCTCAATGTAAACTAAAACAGCTCAACCTCAGCTGACAGAGAACCTGACAGAGAACCTACAGCATTCATAAAAAGTCAGATTTTGTGGGGATTTTAGTGTCCCTTGTCATCTTGAACTTGTTTTCTTCTTAAATCTTTCTTTCTTAAAATCCACACTTTACTGCTACAAACTCCGCTCTAACTCCACACGCATATTTTGTGCAAAGCATCATGGGAGCTCGTTCTGCTAATCGTCTGGTGCCTGTGTATGTCCCACGCACTACTGAGCACAAGCCACTGATTTGAATAGGACGCCATCTTGGATCACTTGCTTCTTTACTATGTTACAACTACAGATTTTATTTATTCATCTTGTGCTATGTCGTTTCTACCGGTGATGCAACACTGAAATTTCCCCACGGTTTGACAAATAAATCTGTTAAACTGAATCTTAAACTTATATCAAGCTGCACGTTTCCCAAATGCAGATGTTATGTTTCTGTTTGTGAACCGGCCGTGGGCTTTTCAATGTGCAGCTGATGTGATTATTCAGATTGTAAAATGAACACCTCTGGAGCTGAGCCGTGTCCCTGGGGTCTGTCATATTTAAAGACGTATTTCTAATCTTTACGAGCAGCTGTGGTCCAGGGCTTTTATTCTTGGCTCTTTATGAGAGAAGGTGCAGTAATCCGCTAACAATATTATAAAACACTGCAGACCACAGAACATTCTCCTGCTTCATTCACAGAGATGCGTAAACTGTGGACTCAGGAAGGTTCTTTTTTTTTTTTCTTTTTTTTTTATAATTTTATTTATGCATTTTCAATATGACAATTCACATATTATGTGTGTACCAGACACAGAATGACATGCCTTTTCTTTCAAACATATAAACAAAACAGAAAAACAAAAAAATATATATATATATATATATAATGCAATAGATTGACTGAAAAAAATTACAAAACAGAACAAAAAAAAAAAAAAAAAAAAAAACACAAATATGAGAAATGTACACGAGATTTCCATACTGTAATAAAAGGTAGATTTAGAGTTGCAGGTCTTATTATAACTATATCAAGGTATGCCAACCATTTTCAAATCTTCAATGTATTTTAGGAATGGGCGGACTCAGGAAGGTTCTGGGTTCAAATCCCTGTATTTGGTGTTCTCCAGATCAACCCAAAACACATAAAAACAATTAGATCAGAAATATTATCATGTCATAGAAACACATTCAATATTTAAGTTAAAGCTGCACTAACTCACTTTGTGACATTTTCGAATGTGAGCGCTGGCCTCGCTCTTTCTGCTCCCCCTCCCCGCACCCACGAAGCTATCACCTCCCACTACCCCCCTCCACTCACCCTGTGCTAACGTGCTAATTGTTTACGGAGCTCACGTCTCACAATATGGATCGCACATTTGCACGTGGATGGCGTGACCATAGAATGATAGAACCGGGAAGCGCGGAGGGACGAGACTTTCTTTTGGCTGTTTCGCTGAGTAAGCAGTAACCGGTACAGGTTGGCCTCCGCCGCTTGTTTACCTCAGCTGTCGGTGCTAACAAGAGACCTGTGGCTTTTCTCAAGAAAGTGGGGGCCAGTGGTCCACTGTGATTGGTCACAATCTGGTCCCGAAACAGATTCTCTTCCTTGTTTCACAAAAACTCGATCTACTTCAAAAGGACGTATAACCCAATGCACTGCATGGATATGGATTGAATTTTTGTAATGAATACAAAAATAAAGTCAGGTAATGCAGCTTTATTAAAAAATAAAAAAAGCGGAAGAAGCGAGATCATTAATCCAACCCTCCGACCTGTGATACAGACTCTCGACACTGTGTCTTGCCGAAAAACACAAAAACAGTCTAGATCTTTAATGCATGTGGCACCTGGTGTTCCCTGAAGTCTCCCATCACATTATTAAAGCCTCTGCCCTGCTTAGCTCCAGAGATAAAAAAAAAAAGCGCTTGATTCAAACATTTATTTGCAGTGAACAATTATAGGGAGTTAAAATACACTGCAAAACATGATGAAATACGGGTAATAATTGTGTCCAGTGATTTTTCTTATCTTAATTTGAGCACATTCTGACTGTGTTAAAGGAGCAGTACTGCAGCCTCTCCCACTCTCCCTGACTCAGGTTGCCAGATATGCGGACGAATCCAGCTGGGACCATAACAGCTGAATAGACAAGAGTTTTGTCGACAACAAATCTATAACCAACACCTTTTTCACAAAGATAGAAATCCTGTTGTTTTTGTCGTTAAAGATTTGAGAATCATAACGAGACCTTTTTTAGTTCTGCGCCACATGGTACTTTACCAGTGAGATTAGCTCCATGCGGTGAGTTCTGGCGCCCGGATCACAGACTTTCTGATTGGTGAAACAGTGGAGGGCGGGACATCGAAATGAAAACAATAACAAGATTTAGGGGCTGGACAGATTAGGGCCCTTTAATGATGACTTGACATGAAAATCTTACATATTGCTACTTTAAAACAAAATTTTCAAAGCCATTTAGTCTTATTTCAAGAACTGTTGTTTTATTTTCTCATTCCAAGGGAGACATTTCTTGTATCTCTCAAAACAATATCATTTTGCTTTGTCCCATCTGCAATATTTTTTTTACGAGAATCAAAATGTGGGAAAACGTGGGACTTGATTTTATTTGCAAACAGACCTTTCACGCCGCTCTGTCTTGAACCTGTCGCTCTGGAGCCGCTCCTGAGAGAATGATTCATTTCCCAAACCTCTCTCATTACACCTCACGGCAAGAACCCCCGAGCAGCAGACTCTCCCACACACTGCATGGACTGATCGAGATTAAAGACCCTGTGTTCTTCCCAGAGAAATGTCAGTGTTGCATCAGCGGTTACGGAGCAGTAGGAGAGAGGAGCAGACGACTCAAGATGAATGAACGATAACTCTGAACTAGAATCAAGTGTTTCACCTCCACCTTCCCCCTCACCTCGCCTCCTCCCTCTCCCCCACCTCCTCTCTCTTTCTCGCCTCCTTCTTCACCCCCGCCTCCTCTCTCTTTCTCGCCTCCTCCCTCACCCCCGCCTCCCCTCTCTCCCCCGCTTCCTCTCTCCCCCACTTCCTCTCTCTTCCTCGCCTCCTCCCTCACCCCGCCTCCTCTCTCCCCCGCCTCCTCCCTCACCCCCGCCTCCTCTCTCTTCCCCGCCTCCTCCTTCACCTCGCCTCCTCCCTCACCCCCACGTCCTCTCTCTTCCCCGCCTCCTCCTTCACCTCGCCTCCTCCCTCACCCCCACGTCCTCTCTCTTCCTCGCCTCCTCCCTCACCCCCGCCTCCTCCTTCACCTCGCCTCTTCTCTCACCCCACGTCCTCTCTCTTCCCCCGCCTCCTCCCTCACCCCCACCTCCTCTCTCTCCCCTGCCTCCTCTCTCACCCCATGTCCTCCCTTGGACCAGGGCCTTTCTGAGTGGAGTTTGCATGTTCTCCCCGTGTCTGCGTAGGTTTCCTCCGGGTGCTCCGGTTTCACCTACCACTAAAAATATGTACAATAGGTCTGGCATCCCCCCACTCCCAAAATAAACAATTGTAAACCGCTTTGAGACTCCGATGTGCAGTGAAAAGGCGGTATATAAATAAATATTACTTACTTACTTACTCACTACTTGTTCCGGTCGAGGGCCAAGTTTCGAGCTGGTTGGGGCCAAAAGTATGCACTGCAAAAAATGATACATCATGAGGTAAAGTGGTTTTATTTGACACATAAATGGTGTTTAAGGTGAGCAATATTTTACTTCCCTTTTTCCTCTTTCCCCCCCACGTCCTCCCTCATTCTAACCTTCTCCGTCAACTCCACCTTCTCCTTCACCTCGCCTCCCCCCTCACCCCACTTCGTCTCTCACCTCCGCCTCCTCCCTCACCCTCGCCTCTTCCATAACCTCGCCTCCTCCCTCACCCCCACCTCCTCTCTCTTTCTCGCCTCCTTCTTCACCCCCGCCTCCTCTTTCTTCCTCGCCTCCCCTCTCTCCCCCGCCTCCTCTCTCTCCCCCGGCTCCTCTCTCTCCCCCACTTCCTCGCCTCCTCTCTCCCCCACCTCCTCTCTCTTTCTCGCCTCCTTCTTCACCCCCACCTCCTCTTTCTTCCTCGCCTCCCCTCTCTCCCCCGCCTCCTCTCTCTCCCCCGCCTCCTCTCTCTCCCCCGCCTCCTCTCTCTCCCCCACTTCCTCGCCTCCTCTCTCCCCCACCTCCTCTCTCTTTCTCGCCTCCTTCTTCACCCCCGCCTCCTCTTTCTTCCTCGCCTCCCCTCTCTCCCCCGCCTCCTCTCTCTCCCCCGCCTCCTCTCTCTCCTCCACTTCCTCGCCTCCTCTCTCCCCCACCTCCTCTCTCTTTCTCGCCTCCTTCTTCACCCCCGCCTCCTCTTTCTTCCTCGCCTCCCCTCTCT